TATATATATATATATATATATATATATATATATATATATATAAAAGACATTGAGCCTCGTTGGGGAAACCAGTTGGTGGAAATAATTAAAATAATATATCTCTCTCTTTAATATTAAACTTTAAAGATTTCTTTAAATTTGGATATTTCTATCTTTTTTTCTCTCCTTTTTTCTATTTTTTTGGTAACCTTGAGTTTCCATGTTAGTTTATGCGCACCGACTAATCTCATGGTTACCATGAATAGCCTTATAATACATGTCGGGTATGTATGTGTGTGTATATACATACATACATGTGTGTGTGTGTGTGCAAGTCTTAAAAAATTGAAGTTTGAGTTAGTTTAGAAAATTGACCAATCTTGAGGGGTTAGTTTTGTATAACCCACTTAAACTTTGCAATTATAATAATGGGCTTGGTTATGTACGTAGATTAGGTTTTATCTTTTTTAACACAACTCTAACTCCTTTAATTGTGATAATCGCTAGAGATAAACCATAAGAGTTTGGAAGAATCCATCGAGAACATAAGAGGGAACCCGGCGGCCAAAATTAAGCAAGGTTCCGTCGATTTCTTGACAGTTCGAGGTAAGTTTATGTCCTAGTCTCGAATCTATGCATTTAGTAGTTGGGTTATAAATTTTGGGATTGTTTGAGAAAGATTCGGAGTCGCTTCGGTGACTTGAAAGTCATCGATTCGATCAATAATAATGACAGCAACATGGGGGTTCATTAAATCTGTCAATGGATCCCTAAAATTGTGCTCTTTTCCCTCTCGAATTTTATCCTAAAAGTTGTTTAGCGTTGGTATCTATCATTGGTGTTATTTATTGCTAAGAGAGGGTTTGAATCATCAGGAAAAAATGGGTCGAAACGACTCAATTTTTTAGTTGAGATGACTGTTGTGTAAACAGCCATCCAAGAGGCTTGGTTTTCTGTTTGGGAACGGGCTGCCCATATAGAAGCTAGGTTGTTGATACATATTTTCCATGTGTGTGTCATGGTGGTAAGATATAGATTTATATATTTACTTGGGTTTTTTTTTAAGCCATGGCTACTGTTTACATATTCACCCTAATTTATTTGTTCCCATTATAACTACAAGGATTTATATGTTTTAGTTGGGTTTTAATTATTTATTGATGATTGAATTGGTTGATTGTCTTGCATGATCAAGTTAAGGGTTAGAATTAATAGTGAGTTTGAGTGTCTGTCTAGGTCGGGTATAAAGAAGTAGACTTGAGAATTGATAAGTTTTGTGCAGTTTAAGCTACAGATTTCTAAACCTTTTTCGTTCCAATTAGTTCGTTTAAATATGTTTATGAACCCATGAGTTTCGTTTAGCTCATGTTTATCCAAATTGTCCGTTACCGCATCTTCCGTTCAATCGTATTTGTTCTATGTTATGTATATATATATATATATATATATATATATATATATATGTGGGGGGGGGGTAGGACGACTTGTCCTAATCATGCTATTTGAGTTATTCGAGTTAGTACAAATATGTATTTTCTCCAAAAGATCATGTTTAATTGTTGGTAACATTTTAGTATGATTTTCACATCTAAGTGTACATATGTTGGTAGATGTGATTGGTTACGTACCATTCGATTTGAGCCTCTTAATTGTTACAACTACTTGTTTATTCAACGTTTTTTTATATTGCTTATGTTAAGCATTCATTCGATGTCGATACGTTCTGCTCTTACTATTAATTTAGATTATATGACGTCACATTCGTTGTGACAACTCAACTCCGGGTAACTCGAGCTACTAACCACCTATGGGGGTACCATAGGCACATCATTGTGGCACCGATGGCGTGACACTGACCTTGGCAATGTGATCAGTCTACGTCGTCTCCTCTTTTGTGCTCTTGTGAGAGCTATTTTGGTGTTATGGATATTAGATTTAGGAAGCGTATGGGTCAGCCCTAGCACATGTAATTCGGTTGTAGGGTGGATGTCGGTATAGTGTCCAACGCCACATCTCACACTTAGTACATGTGGATCTGCAGTCCAACGTACAGGCCTGTGTGGCCATATGTCTGACACTTGTCCTCTTGGTTGATATGCAAGTGTATACGTTTTTCGAGCTCAAATTGTCCCTTCAAATGCTTTCGTATGATTATGTTATTTGTTGATTTTACCAAGACTTTAATACTCGTTTTGTCTGATATCTTGAGATCAATTTTGGTGTGTTTATATTACCATTTTACTATAATTGTTTATCCGTTCACTAGGCATTTGACTTGGCCGTGTTTTCTTCTGTTCCTCACGACAGGTAATCAAGGGAGCGACTAAGTCTTGTGACAGAGAGTAGACCAGGATCTCAATTTCAAACATTTCGAGAGGTTTAGCGCTATGTTATTTCATTTATTGGATTTATTTATTTGGCTATTAGACTAACATTTCTTCTACGGTTGCATTTGAATTTTCTTTGAGTTGTTGGAAGATACTTGGTGTGGTTTATTTGGAGACATTTATTTCTTTATTTGAGATATATTCAATTTCGTTATTGAAAGATTTTTTTTGTAGTGGAAACTATATTTTGAAGGTTTTATATATCGATTCCGTTACGTATTGAAGCGACCTCCCTTCCTACGGAATAGGGGTGTTACAGGTTTGGAGTCATCGTAGTCCATGGCTAAAGGGCTTTGGCAGCCTGGATTGGAACCCAAAGTACTTCAGTCTTTTTGATTTTAATAAAACTGTATACTTTTTTATTAAAAAAAATTAACACATAAAACAAGTATATTATTTTGTTACTGTATTTGATATTAAAAAAATAAACATTTTTTAATACAATTAGTTCTTTTTAAATTGGTCATTATAGTTTTAGTTTCTTATGAGTTTAATTTTTGTCACTAACATAGTTCAAGTGCAAGCCGTTGACTGTATGCCACTATATAGAAAATATTTAATTATTTTATTGTAAACAATAATTAAATAATTTATCTTTTTATGTATTAGTTCTTTTATAACAAAAAAAAAAATACAGTTTTATTAACTCAAAAATATACCAAAAAAGAAGTCAAAAAGGCTAAAATGCCCCCAAGTTAAATGGTGGTCTTTTAATAGATTTTGTCTCGGAAATGAAAACAACAATAAATTATAAATTATAGGGACGAAAATAGCAATAAATTACAAACAATAAGAACGAAAATCGTAATTTCAAATCATAAGAACGAAATCTTTCACAAATCATAGGAACGAAAACATATTTTTATCATGAAAAGTTAAATTAAAAAATCTGTAAATCATTATAAAAATTATTGATACGAACAAATTAAAGGGAAAAAAAGGTAAATTTGAATTAAAAACTAAAAGTAATGTTGTATCGAGTAGATTTTAGTGCCATTTAATTGAAGGGATTAATTAGAAGTAATTATGAAAGGACCATCGTACCCTTTTGTTGGACGTTAATGCGGCGACACTTTACTTACGAAGAGGTGAATTGTGTATCATCGATTTCTGGTCGACAAAAGACACGATGGTACAAAATTGTGATATAACATTAGACTGAAACATAACAGGATTTAATAATGTATTTTTTTTTTTCTGACTTACCAAAAATGAAAGAAACAAAAATAGAAAATTTTGATAAATTACTAAGGGTGTTTAAAAAAACCGTTGGACCGTTCAAACCGGCCAAACCAAGTCAAAGCGGACCGTTTTTGACAGTTTGAACAGTCTGGCAGTTTGGCCTAGTTTGAAAAATAACAAATCCGGGCTGGTCTGCAGTCTAGAACCTTTTTTGGGCGGTTTGGACCAAACCAACCGCCAAATACATACACACACACACACACATATATATATATATATATATATATATATTTTTTAGTGTTGGCAAACTCAATTTTTTAAACTTACGAGCTATGACTCAAATATATCCTTAAGTCCAACATAAAACCTAACATCTAACATAATTAAATCCAAATAAATCGGCGCCTAAAAATCCCTAAACTAGTAAACATATCGACACATTTGACATTGATGGTATCCAGATTTTAAAATCCCTCAAGAACTCTATCAATCTATCGATATTTCCTAATCCATGGTTTGATTCCGGCACACATCATCAAGACATCAATCAAGTGATTCAACCAACTAAGATTTGCTTTCTATTTTGTTTGGTCAAGAATTGAAGGTTGTAAAGTCGTGGATTTTGTTACTCAATACTCACTGTATTATATATTTATTTGTTTAGACTTTGAATTGCTTAGATTTTAGACTCATGAGCTACTTAATTATTACATTTATTTATTTGGATATTTTGTTTTGTTAAAATAGATATTTAATCTAAAATTCTAAATTATATATATATATATATTAAGTTTAATATTTAAAGTCCAATAAAGACCTAAACCGTCTAAACCAGTCAGACCAGACCGTCTTTTCGTGGACTAGTTTGACCAGTCTGGACACTTGATGTCAAACCGCTCGGTTTGAAAATTTTATAAACCATCATTACGCTTTGGTTTATAGTCTAAGGAGTTAAACCGCCCAAACCGGACCGCGAACACCCCTAATTTCACCCTTCAAGTTCTATCATGGTGACATTTTAATAAATTATTAAACTACCCATATCAAATTAAAACCCTAAAAACCTTTAAAAAAATCACCCGGCTACCTAATTCTCACCCGTCAAGTCCTATCTTGTTGACATTTTGATAAATTATTAAACTATTCATGTCAAATTAAAACCCTAAAAAACTTTCAAGAGTTCTTTCACCCGTCTAATCCTAACACGTTAATATTTTGGTAAATTACTAAATTATCTGTGTCAAATAAAAACCCTAAAAACCTAAGAATTCTTTCACCCACCTTACCTGATAACCTGACTGTGTCTCTCACCCGTCAGTCTAGTTTTGGTGCATAAATTCCCAAGTTATATGCCGCTGTGCTAGAAATCTGATCACCTGAGAACTGGAGTTGTTTGCTTTTCTGTTTCAATTAGTTTCATCACAATCTTGCCCAGATTAAACATAATATCATATGCCTTTAACTGTCATATAAGGGATAACTTCTTTGTATGAAGGGTTTCATGTTTCCATAACGTCCGACTTTACAAGCGATGAACTCTCTTTTGTCATTTCTATTATACACGTTGAAAGAATGTGATCGGATCATAGCATTGCCCAGATTTAGTTATGTTGTTAAATATACTATAAAGGTGGTGCACGAACTGTTGTGGGTGAGCGAAGAACTTGTTGCAGCAGACGTGCAGCAAAACGCTGTGTAATTCCACCAAATACACGGCCCCCAAGATTTCGTGCCTCCGGTTCTTGAAGGACCTGATCATATGAAGTCATTTAATCGGCTTTAGTATATCATAGACGCATCATATTACACCACAAAATGCAATTACTGAGTGACTATCTCTTCATAAAAAGACAAATATATTAGATTCAGACCAAGGGGTCTTCGACCCAATGGTACGCAGGTTACGAGTAGATCCCAGACTCCCTAGTGGTCAAGGGTTCAAGGCTGTTTGGTTCAAGCTGGGGAATGAAAAAGAAATAGACAGGGAATGAAAATGAGAATGAATTTTCATTCATCCCAGTTTTAACGTGTAATAAATTTTGGGCTTCTACGGGAATGAGCCCATAATATTATATAAAACCAAACAATTTCTTTTATTTCATTCTCATTAATTACTGCTTAATACCTCTAACCAAACACCCCCTGAAATCACGGGGTTGAGCATTGAGGATCACATAAAATCCTATTTCTATTGAATATCAGACATGGGCAAGCTATAGCACTGCTTTGTGGTCTAATTGTTTGGTTGAGAGACAAATGACTATAAAGGCCATGTTTGGCAAACTACCTGATAAGCTAGTTCTCGTCTAAAATGCTAGCTCATAAACTAGTTGTGTTTACTAACTGATAAGTTAGATAACAATGTAAAATGACCTAAGAAGACATGTTGAAAAATTAATTGGAGAAACATAAGAGGCAAACTAGCTGGTAAGCTAGTTGTTGGCTTAATGAAAAATCCCTTCTTGGCAAGCCATAAACTAGCTTTTTGAAAAGCTACTTTATATGGCTTATTGCTTTTTTCACCTTTTTCCAATTATGCCCATTTAATTTTACAAAAATATCCCTTATTATTTTCCTTTTAGGTCATTTTACATTGTTATCTAGCTTATCAAGTAGTTTTTACCAAATGCAACCTTAAAAGCTAGTTTCCCAAAATTAGCCGAAGTAGCTTCTCAACAAGCTAGCTTATGGCTAACCAAAGGGGCTTTTTCAAGAAGCTCAAAAAAATAAGTTAGCTAAATATTGTCAAACATGGCCCAAAAATCGACCATAACTACAGTTATGTACCTCCACTTATATTGTCATTCTACACATATGGCTAGAAATATATTTGCCAAAAATGGATAAGGATTATAATCAACAATGACCACTGGGACCTCCTATATTTTAAGGGGATAATAAACCCAAGATAAAAGTTTAATTGGTCAAAGATTCCTAACTCATAAACCTCCATGAACCTCAACTACAAAGGTTACATAACCACCCATATCAAAAGGTGCACAAGTATATAAACACAAGGATAAATATCATACCAACACTCTTCTTTAATCATATAAGGTCTCTTTTAGACATAAAGCAACTAAGGGCCTATTGTTAGCAGCTTCATGAGCTTAATGGACTCACAGCTTATTCGGTCAGCTATAGATGACTTTCTGGTAGTAGTTTAATGACATAGGAAGTGGCTCATCCATGAGCTTCTAGGGGGGGCTTATTGCCAAAAAACCAAGTTTTTTTTTCCAAACATTCCCCTCCCAATTAAAAAACATGCTCCTATCATCTATGAAAAAAACCTCTCAAACAAAAACCTTCCCATTCCATATAGACAGATTAGTCCACACAGACATCTTTATCCATATAGGACTTAATGAAAAACCAACCGAACAGCCCCTAAGATAGATGATATGTTAGCATTAGGATGAGAAACATGAGTTGTGATCTTACCTGTACAATTGGTTGTAGGATAGTAGGATCAAGACTATCTGAGGTCCGTAGAAGTCCCCATATCCTTAAAACTCGTTGTCTAAGCTCCATCATGCTCTCCATCTCAGCATCAGTCAAAGATGTACCAATTCCATTTCCGTTGGGAAGAAATGTCCTCAAAGGGCCAGGAATGGAATTGTATGTATCAACCAAAGTGCCAACAGTGATTGCTTCAGTTACCCGAATAGCCTCTTTGATAACTAACGTCCTCAGTTCCTCACCTTCTGGATCCAATAATAGTTTCAAAACAGGTTGTAATGCATCTTTTGCTGAGAAATCTCGATCCATTTTTCCCTGCTCGAGCAGGTTTTCAAGTCTGTTCCACCTGTAGAAAAAGAAAGGATTAAGAAATGAATTTAGGCAACAAAGACCGACAACAAATTACATTTCAGATAAAAAAAAGAACAAGAGATCACATGCCTGAACTTTCCATCCTTGAATAGTAACTCAATAAGTGCGTCTCTTAGGTATGGATTCGGATCAGTGAGCAGCCTTTTGGCAAAATATGGATACGAAGCAGCTAGAACCTTAAAATTAGGATCGGCATACAGCGCTAAACCTTCTAGAACAGTAAGTGACCTCAATATCAATGCATAGTAAGCCGGCACATTAAATGGATACTGATAAAGAACAGCACCGAGGCCATCCACAATAGTCTTGAAATTAAGCTCACTCACTGTAGAATTTAACGCATCATCAAAAAAGTTTCTAAGTGCTGGTACAATCGGGGATACATCCACATCAGGAGATAAAAAATCTAAAGCATAATAATCACGAGCCATAGCTTCATAATCCCGATTAACCATATGGACAACATGACCAATGATAGCAAACCTTGCCTCTTCAGGTGTCTCACTCATCATTCCAAAATCAAGAAAAGCAAGCTTTCCTTCGGGTGTTGCTAATAGATTCCCAGGGTGAGGATCTGCGTGGAAGTAACCGTACTCGAGTAGCTGCCTAAGGCTACACTGAATACCTGTGTTTACCAGATCCAAAACTTTTAATCCTTGACCTTCAATTATTGCCTGCTCGTTTAGTTTAACGCCTTCAACCCATTCCATTGTCAGGACCTTCCCACTGGTGTAATCCCAGAAAATGTCCGGAACTAGTACATCTTCTTTGTCGGCATACAACTTCTTAAATCTTCTAGCATTCTGCCCCTCCTGCACACACCTGCCAAAATTAACATTCAAACCCACAGGAAGCTCTCACACGATATTTGTTTCCTACCTTGCTCATATGACGTAAACAATTACCTAAAATCGTCTATGAGAAACCAAAAGGTCATTGGTCCACTGGTATTTGGGTTACTGGTTGATCCCAGCCTCTCAGGAGGTCAAGGGTTCAAACCCCACTAAAAGTGAGGAGGGTGCGTGAGTATTTGTTGTATATAATTAAAGAATATTATATACTTCCAAAGAAAACAGTTCTTAAACTCTTGGCATAATTGAATTTGAGAGCATATACTGTTGGTGAACCAGATTCACCATAAAAGAGAACCAACCTGTACGTAGTTCAGCTCTTGATAAACTCTTCGTGCGAATTCGTCGATTAAAGCAACAACGTCACTGCTAATTATGTCTACATATTTATTGATAAGGAAACCTAGACCCCTTATCAGGTAAAAATCTAGTCCAATAGCTTCCTCAATACCAGGCCTCTGCACTTTCACAGCAACAAGTTGCCCGGAATACTTCAGCTGGGCTTTATAAACTTGACCCAGACTAGCTGCAGCAATTGGAGATGTTGATATCGATGAGTAGATGGAATCAAGTGGAATCCCCAGCTCTTTTTCAATGCATGCAAATGCCTCAGCATCTGGAAATGTTGGCAAAGCATCCTGATCAATCATGAAAACGGTGTCAAGCTTACATTATCAATTATATGTAAACACTAAAAGATTAGCACACAAGAAAATATATTAAAAAAAGATGCCCAACAAAAACTCAAAGAGAAGAAACACAGCCAATCAGTAATTCAGTATCTATGCGTAAAGAAAAATGGAAGACCTAAAAATGACTCATTTTGCTAAAACCACTTATACATATAACACTCTGAAGTTAAAATGATGATCTATAAACACTGCACTTTCATAATTGCATCGGCAATATAGCACACTAAAGTTAGCATCTTCCCTGCCTGAAACCGCCTTCGTTAGTTCAAGTAGTTGGATCAGGTCTTAGTGGCTTCTCAATGCAAAGTTAATTCACCAACCATTTATGAGCAGGTAAGCAATCGTCAAAGCCTCTGACAGAAAAAACCCACATAGTTGCATTTTGACAAATGGCACAGTAGAGGATCTTGAACCCCATACATTATATAGTAACAAATATTGCTATGAGTTCATAAAATCATAAACCAACCCACATTTGAGGATAGTTTTACCTGGAGTTCAGAGAGCTCCTCAAGGAATTCTGGTGGGCAAAGATCGGGTCTGGTGGAGAGTCCCTGACCAAGTTTAACGAAAGTAGGACCAAGCCTCGTGAAAGTCTCCCTCAACTCAATAGCACGCGATCTTCGGTTCTGTTCCAGCTGACCTTGTAACTGGTCTATCCACAGTTTCACTCCAAATGAACCCAACCCAACAAGGATTTCGAAAGTCCTCCGTAGCACCTATAAATTAGTTTACTACCACATGAATCAGAGCTATAAAAAGAGCATCAATTCTTAAAAGGAATAAATCTATCAAGTGAAGGGTCCTATTGGTTTCTAGAATTCCAAATTTGTAGCACAATTTCTGATAAACGAGAAGGAAATTATCGCTGTTCTATCAAGTTAGAGTGGTCACTATCTTGACTTTGCACAATTTTAATTTCATGATTTAGAGAATTAGACTTATCCGGAAGTTGAATCAAATCTAGGAAACTCACCTTGAATGGACGAGAAGCATATTTGATTTTAAGAAGTTCAGGGCTGTAGACGGAAGCGTTGGCAGCACGCGCCAACGCCTTCGATTCGGCTTGAATGTCATCTGTTCTGATTCTGGAGGAAGGAACTATGGAGATGTTGGCTTCTGATACGGCACCATTGATATTGTTATTACCTCTAATTGGAGGTAGAGAACGAGGTCTAGCTTCTTCAACCAGAGCAGCACGTAAGGGTTTCACTCTGACTCTTCTCCGACATCTAGTCGCCGTCGCCGTCGTCGTTGTTCTCCTATTCCGATAGAAAACCGATGGATTTCCGGGTGCTGTAGTTGAAGCAGGTGAAAGAGTCACCGTACTCATTGTTGAAGGTGGTTGTGGTGGTTTCAAATCGGAGCCGAAAGAGGAAGAAAATCAATACCCTTGGTGTGAAGAATTAAACAAAGGGGAGGGCCAGGGAGAAATGGGTGTCGTATGCCATTTTCTTGGCTAAAAATGGAGGGTTTCATATGGCATACGTGTTTACCCGTCACACTCCTTTGCCTACCCATTTTTCTTCTTGTACCCCTTCATTCCAATCCACCTATTACATGTCCTATGTGGCTTTCGATCTCTCCGATCGCGTGTCCGATAAATCATCTTACGTACCGATATCGTTGTCGTCTCTTTTAATCATCGTTTTCTTCTTCTTTTGACGTCTTTTCATGGTATTGGATAATATTTCAAGATTTACGTATGGAACAAAAGTTTATAACCATGTTCTACTAAAGTTTATGCTCATAATGCCCCCTCATGGTTTATTGGAGGGATCGTTATTGAAGAAAAAACTACTGGTAGGGAAAGCAGGTGGGAAATGTCGCCCCCCCCCCCCTCCCTCCCCGCTCCCCGCTCCATGTTTATGCCACTTGCTTTTGTTTGTTAAATCCTAACATGTTTAGGTAAAAGAATACATGGTATAAAAAATCTATTAGATACCTATTTAGTAAGAATATAATAATGATACATTATATATATATATATATATATACACAAATCAAGATGAGATTAGGGGTTACTGGTGTCATCCCATGATGCAGTTCAGTTTTAGAAAAATCAATCCTTGTTATCAGTCAACACAGAAAATCTCCACCCTGTTAGTGGTGGGAACCTTGTGCCAATTTTCATCTCTACCTATTATATATTCTTCTAGCATTGTCTCCACCTCTTGTTCTAACACTACCTCAGATGTTTTACCAGTAACAACATTTGATATAGCTGTAATCCTTGTAGTCTCAACCTCATATACGCATATTAAGCATAAGTCGACTTATATTACTATCAGTGCTATTATGTCTTATTATCTTACTCTTTTTTCAATTGCTAGAACCGAATCAAAACAGACCTAATATGCCTCATTTGAAGGTGGGGCCTATGAACATTCATCAAGCCCTGTAGGCCTTAACCAACCTTCAAGCAGAGTAGTATTATGCATCGTTGCATTCTGACAAGGTTCGAAAATAGGTAAACCGCTAGATATTTGTTGATTATGAAACATCAGTCGTGTTCTAAATAGTGATTTCAATTTTTAATGTTTGGCCTTTCTTAAACATTCACAAAATGATGCACTATTCTAAGACGTCAATACTTTATTACCAAATATTTGTCCTGTTAAAATGATAACGTTGTTACTTCTTGTACGGGGGGCAAATTTGGGAAAAATAAGAATTATTATATTTTGTTTTTAATGGTCATCATATATTATTAACATATTATGTAATCGAAAAATATAGAAAAAAGAAAAGATGTATATGAACAAAGGGTACCTAAAATGGGCATGTATAACATCAAATAGAAATACTCGTGTCATAAACACTGCAAATCTTGTCAAAAGACCTTCCAGCCTAGTGGTAAAAGCTTGGGCATGACATAGTCATGAACCCGAGTTCAAGACCTGGGAGGAGAGTGTTGGCAACATTTAAGTGGGGCCATGTTTAGCCTCCAAATTTGTCGGGGATTAGTCGGGCTTTGGCCCGGACACCCTTACAAAAAAAAAAAAAAAAACACTGCAAATCTTTTTTATGTATTGTTTCACAAATGAACAATACATTTGAAACCCGAATCGTAAAAATCAACAAAAACCAGTTAAACAGTGCAATTCTAAGATATAATTAATATAGTTTCACATGTTTTGTTTTTGCGTGAGTATACTGTATAAACGCTACATATTCAGATAAAACAATACATACAAATTGGTTTTTACAATTTCTAACTTTTAAATGATCGTTATTTGATTTGCTCCCTTGTACAATACTTGGGATGCTATATTGGCCGGGAACTTCATCTTTAGGCTCGAACAATACTTTCATGGTATAAGGATAACTGATGATACCGTAAAGATCGGAAATTCCCCTATATTCTTACGAGAATTGGCCCAACTTTGGTGGAGGATGAAAGCATCGTGGGCATGAAAGAGGTGTATGCGGATCGACAGATGAGAACAATTCAAAAATACATGAAGACTTCAAAGTGTAAATGGTTTGGAAGCTGTTGAAGTTATAGCTCATTGAACTCGAAATTCAACAAATAGAAAGCCATGGATGTTCTCGTTCTAAAAATGGTAAACTAGCAAAATAAAAAGGAACCCCATGTTAATATTGGTTCAATTAAATGTCAGTTTGTTTTTTAAAACGTCACGAACTTCTGGGATCTTACAATTTCTCATATTTATGTTGTAACAAAAAGTATTATTGATTTTGCTTTTAGATTTCACAATATCTTCTATCATACGTGTTTTAAAACCATGAGTTTTAAAACGGACAATTCTGATACGTTTAGCTCTAAATTTAAGAAAACGTAGAACGAGGTTGAGTTTGAATTTCTAAGAATAAAACTTTATTAAGGGGGTGTTTGAAATTGTTTATTTGAAACAACTTATGTTTTTTTACAAAAGTACTTACCAACTTTTATTATAAGTCAGAAGGGTTTAACTTCTTCATAAACTTATTATTACCGGTTTGACATCGGTATAATTGTTTATCCAAACAATCAAAAATGCTTATTACCGATACTGCATCGAAATAAGTCAATAACTTGTTTTTTATAATCAACCCCAAAACACCCCCCATAAGTTTTCAAGACTTTGGTGTATTTGTGAGTAAAATCTTGAAAACAGATGTGTGAAAAAAAACCAAGTAAAAGCGAAAGGTTAAATTTTTTTGATTATAGAGGATTTTAGGAACATCTTGAAATCTCCAAGAATCAAAAGGGGGATTCAGGGAGTCCAGATTGACATTGGTACATACAGTCCTGGCTTAAAAAAGTTGGAAGCAGCGGTCGTTTGATCATACAGATTTGGGTGATTTCATTTGATTTGATTACTTCAATCAGCAACTGAGAATTTCTTTCAATTTCTTGTGTAATTGGAAAACCGTTGCCGGAGTGATTACAGAGACTGGCACTGGCACTGGGACTGCCATGGATGATATGGAGGATTCTTTGTTCGAGGGTATGGTCCTCTTCGACCCTTCTTCATCTTCTTCTCAATTGCCTGTAAAATCTGCACTAGATGATAATAATAAGCATGATGACAGTATTCAACTACGTAATCATGGTGAAATTAGTCAGCAACCTCCCCAATCCCCAACTCCCGCCGCCATAACCACCACCGGAGCTTCATTTGAACCCCTGGATGAGAACCTGTTCTCGGATCTAACCCTCTTCCAACCCCAATCTCAAGATGACGTCTCCTCCACTCTCGATCATCCTCCTCTTTCACCGTCATCATCGTCATCATCACGTAGTACTACTGATGTTGCCACAACATTTGCATCGCCATCACAAACATCAGCCACAATTACTTCTACCAGTGTTAGTAATAGTAGAGGAGCTGCCCCCCTTGCCCGATCCCTTTCATCACAGAATTCTTCCACCAGGAAAAAGAAGAGAGCTGGTATAAGGATCGGTTATGGTAGAACAACTCAGACTCAAGATGCCAATGTTGATGTTGATGACATGCAGCCTCAACTCCGTCTCCCCTCCCACTCAACAACTACATCTCCATCTCCATCTCCATCCCTGTCCTCTGCTTCATCACTGCCCGTGGTTATTGCTGAAGAAAAGGATGAACCAGGGGAACAAAAACAGCAAATCATTCCTGATTCTGAAATTAGTTCTGATTTAACAGCAGCAGCCACTTCCACAGCCGAAGAACAGATCAAGATAAATGAGGTAATTCCGAATTCAGAGTCTGTGGAATTGACACCAAAGAATATACCACAAGAAGAAGAAGAAGAAGAAAAGGAGAAGAAACAAGTCCAGAGTAGGGAGAATTCAATGGAGTCCAGATATGACCAAATTAAGGCACAGATCGCTGACAAGCTCAATTGTGCCCAGCAAGCAGTAGCTTCTGTGTCTGCCAAACGCAAGGACTTCATTAGGAAGAGAAGGAAAGCGGAGGAGGAGCTGAATCTTGCGTCTGCAAAGCACAAGGAAATGGAGAAGGAGCTGGAGGAAGCTGTTGAGTCTGAAGATTTTGAGACTGCGGAAAGAGTCAGTGACAGCCTTGCAGCAGCTGAGAAGAACAAGGAGCTTCTTTCCATTGCCTTGAGAGATGCTGAATCCAACTGTGATGCCATTGATGCTAAGATGCAGGAGGCTTTGGAGTTGCAAATTGTGGCTGAGGAGGAATGTGCAGCTCTGCTGGAAAGCTTCGCGATGGTGAGTTCTTTTTCATCCTATATATATATATATGTGTGTGTGTGTGTGTGTGTATGTACACACCTTTCAGCATTGCTGCACTCATGAAGCTAGAGTTATAGAGATCCATAAATTGCACAAGCACTTGTGTTTCTCATGCTGCCCTTGATTTATATAATACAAATGTACACACTTCCATGGGGGATTTCATGACTTATCCATCAATGACTATTATGTGGCTGCATATGTGTAACTGATATCTATAAATATATGATCTATAATGCTCATTAACCCAAAACTACAATGGCTTTTGCTGCACCCTGAAGCTAGAGTGATAGAGGTCCAAAGATTGCAAAGGCACTTGTATTTTCTCATGCTGCTCTTGATTTATAGAATATAGATGCAGTCTTCTATTGGGGTTTTCATGACTTCCTACATCAAAGACCTATTAAGTGGCAACATATGTGTAAGTAATTTTATAGAAACAGATTACACATCCACACATGAAGTCTTGAAGCTAAAGCAAACTGATCAAGAAGGAAAGTAGTTCTAATCCTAATATAACTTGGACTTCTAATCCTAATATGATCCTATACTGGATATCCATTCTACCAACTTAGCAAGCAAAACAAAGAGAACTTTCAAATAGAGTTCACTGCAAAAGATTAAAAGGACCGAAACAGACAACAAAAGAAATCCTTGCAGTAGGTTGCCATGATTGGTTGTGGACCAGATGTTCCTACTCCTGACTCACCTTTTGAAAAGAAATTTTCATGTGAAGTTCTGACAGATTTAGAAGATAAATCCATATAAATCCACATGGATGTCACTGTGAAAAGCTTTCTTAGCATTAGAGCAGGTCGAAATAATGTTAGAATGCATTAGGATGATTGTCATTATGATAACTTTTAGTATATATTTTTTTTTTACTTATTTACAATTATCTTTAGGATTAGTAATTTTAGGACAATCATATATCTTGTTGCTGTTATTATATAGGGAGATGTAATCTTCAAAATTGATGATTAGATGATTGTAGAAAAATGGTTAGGAGTTTGACTCATAGGTGAGATTTGGTTATCTGTCTCAAGAGATCTTACTTGTTTTTTGGTGTGAATTAGAAACCTAGTTTGTTTACTGTTTTCTTAATCCTTTCTCTTCACCTAAATCTAACATATATTGTGATTCACTTTGTCGTTAGAGCCGGAAAACCTTAATTTTGGTCGCACGAAAAAAATTTAGCCAAATAAGCCACCATCCATCTCTGACTATCCTCGATCAGAACCCTAATATGCTGTCATCATCAACTCCCAGATCAAAAACCTGATCTACAGCCATAATTAAGCCAAACCCTGAATTTCAGTCATCATCAGGAAGGGCAAGCATAAGAAAGAAGAGAAATCTTAATAGGTTAATTGTGGGAAAAATAGAATGTGTTTCTGGCAAAATCAAAGAGGCATGTTGCAAGTTATCATTCGATAACCAAGTTGAGGAACACATAAACTTAGTCCTACTCTAAGAATCCAACATTGTGTGATCTGTCACGAGGTGGTGAAGGAATCTATAATTGAGAACAAGATTGGAAAGCCAACCAATAGAATATGATGCGAGGTCATCCATGATTGAAGTTGCCAAGTACAAGAATATCATTAGCCGACTCAAACAAATGAAGATGTTAGATGAAGCTTCAGTGGAAATCAGAGATGATTATGTGATGGAAAAATGGTGTTGCCGCTTTTGTTTCCAAGGAGGTTAAGCATATTGATTTCGTTATTCTACAAGATTTACTTAAAGCATATTGTAATATAAGATTAGTTATGTGGTCCCTCTCTATCTAAGAAGCAATTTCAAGATACAATGTCAAGCATACAACCAGTACTAAAGACTATTACCATGTAATTCTAAGCGTAATACAACTAGGAATTCCAAAACTAACATGATGTTACCTCTTAGCAAGAGGTAAATGATGTATCAACTAGAACATGAGTAATGAGATTTTCCAGAGCCATGCCCTGTTGACGTAGTGTTGTAGTCAACCTACATATATTTTATAACTAACAACCGATTTGATTTGGGTACTCACTGCATTAATTTCTAATTTCATAAGTGAAAGTTATCAGTTTGCATGCAATTCCTAGGGAATGTCCTGCTTATATAATGTACACACATTTGCATTCTTTGACGATGAATAGCAGGTGAATAAGGGACCTTTAGTTGAGGGCTGCCATTTAAGGGTGGTGTGCATCTGCTTTGAAGCCTGTTAAAGTATCGACAATTAATAAAAAAATGTGTTCAAAGCAAAGTTATTGATAATAAATTACAATCTTTAATTGATTTATACCTTGGATGGTGATGCTATCTTAGGTATCTAATATTTTATGCCTTTGTTACCATCCTTATTCTAGTAAGTTAAATGATCTTTACAAATGGTTTTTTCCAGGATGCTGATCATGATGCAGATGCTGTCATCTCAAATGCCAAATCTAAGACTTCAGAAGAATTGGAGAAGTGGCTATCCTTATCTGAAGCTTTAGAGGTGAAGAAAATGGAAGTGGAAATTGAATCACATGTTTTATCGGGAGCATGCCTGATGTTAGATGATTCCATTGAACATGCTGTCAAGGATGACAGGGAAGAAAGTGAACTCCTTCACAAGAAAAAAAATATGTTGGCAGAGGAACTGCAGGAATTGCTTGCTTTGGTGAAGCAGAAGGAAGCAGTAATAGCAGAAAATGATTCGAAGATCGAAAAGGTTGAGAAAAGGATGGCTGATGTAGTCTCTAGCTTCCAGGAGGCACAATCAAACATTCATTCGAAGTCTGATAATCTTCAACTGGGTCTTTCTCAACTGCAACTCGATAGTGATGCTTTGTCTAGAAAAAAGGAGGAAATTGATGATTATTTCCTCCAGGAAGAAGCCAGAGGTTCAAAAGTCAGGGAACTTGGCCGAATTTCTGCAGCTGAAGCAGGCATGTACCAAGAAGTCGTAAACCTGCGTAGGAGTTTAGTACAGTTCATCTCGAAATCGTGGGAAGATAAAGCAAGGTTAGCTAGGACTGAGCAAAAGTTGTTTGATGATGTTCAAATGCTCAGACAAGATATTTCTGCTGTAAGAGCTTCTCTTCAGGTTAGTCCTCGGATTAATCGTGGACTCACCATAATTTCGAACCAAGCACAGGATAGAGTTTTCATCCAAACAGTTTTTGCTTGATTTTGAAGAATGGTGAAGTCCATGATTTATCACTCTCCTTTAGCGTTATTCTTTTGTTCATTCTTTCTTTTCTTTTTTGGCTAAGTGTTGCTTGCTCTCTAGGAAATTCTGTGAGTGTTCCCAAAGTATGCATCTATGTTCTGGTTATCATCTTTCACTTCACCTTCACCAATGTTGTAACTTTATCACCTTCTAACTAATGCAATGACTGCGGTTTGAAGGGTATAAATGTAAACCAACTAGAATGTCATCACTTCTGTAGTGCCTGTTGACTCTCTCTTAAATTTGTGCAAGGACAAATGGGGTATCAAGTTAGGGATGGGGAGGAGTTATTCTGAAAATAAGTCACAACCCACCTTTCTTTCATTAAATGCAACAAAAATAGCAACAAGTAGTTTAAGAACTTGGGGATCTTTTACATATTGAAGATCAAAATCACTATATTTGTGTTTGATTCTTAAGGCCATCCCATTCTTACTGTAACACAAATACCATTCTGGTGAATCTTGTCTAAGCATACATCCACACATGCACACCAAATGATCTGTATTGGTTTCTTGGTCCTAAATATTTAGTGAATAATAGCATGGACACCGTTCTTCAAAAAAGGAAAAAATAGCATGGACACCATTCTTCGAAAAAGAAAAAAAATAGCATGGACACAATTCCTGTCTAGTGCTAGATTGTTTAATTTAGGAACAAAGTAAACTCTAACTTAATTTATCTTTTCTAATTATTTTTTTATCGTTGCAACTCTTCTCTTTCCTTCTATACCATTGGGTATGAGATTTTGGCTTTTCTTAGAGAAAATTGCATAAAAAAGTATAATTTTTTACTTGATCAAGTCACTGTATGTTTGGTTGAGAGTTTGGTTACGAGTTTGGTTACTAAATCAGCTGGCATGCTTGTCTTGTAACACTATTCGTACAGCGTATGACATAATGCAATTTGCAATTTGTGATATTTGTACTACACTGAACTAGTGGTCAACATGGTTCAGTTCATTGGTTTTGTGTGATTAATTGTGAAAACCAAATGTTTTGGCTTTATGATATTGGGAACCTCCAACAGACCCAACCTTCATGGTTCTGTGTTCTGGTCTCAGTTTTAGGTGAGCAGGTTGGCGGTTTGTGCCTAGTAATTACAAATTCTCTATCATATTTAATGCAGTTCTAGCCCAATCAATATGTTTTTCAAATTTCCAACCCAAATAATTATTTTAATTCAAATTTCAAGCTAATCCAATTAAGATTCAAAATTCATTCAACTTTGGGTTTCTGCATGCATGCAACTTTGGAGCAGTGTACTACAGGTTACATTTGTGGATTCAATGTTTTTGATTTTAGAATTATGCTCTAGTGGCCACAGATGAGAGGGACAAATAATAGTGAACCTCCTAAAAATTTCCTTCCACAATTGCAAACCACATTTGCAATTCAGGGAATGTCTTGTATACCAAACCAAACGAGCTCAGTATAGGAGACCTGATCTCTGCCCCAGGGAACAGGCAGCTGTTTCCGTGAAGACCCCTGGTTTGTGCAAAGTGTGCGGAAGAAAAATAGAACTAAAAGTAGCTAAATAAAAAAAATTAGAACATTCAGATAAGAACTTGAAAGCAAGAACAGCAGATATGCTAAATTTTGGAGAATGAACTAGGAGTAAACAACAATATAGAAACATACAAATATAACAAGATGAGATATCATGCCACAACTTATACTTGCTTATTTAATAAAAACCATTGTTTTAGCAATACAATCGCTCTAAACTCTCTTTCTTGATGTTTTAGGATCTATCTTCAACAAAATCAGGAACCCAGCAGGCAATTGAATCTTCCAAGCAGAGGCTTCTCTTTATAGAAAAAAGAGTCCCAGAGCTAGAATCTGAAAAGAGAGTCGCTGCTACTGCAAGAAATTTCAAAGAAGCAGCACGTATCGCCAACGAGGCAAAGACACTATACGTTGAAAAAGAAAGTCTGCAAACTAAAATAGACGAAGTCGTGTCAGAGCTTAAGAAGATAGAGGACGATATTAACCACAATGTCAATAGACTGCAGGAAAAAGAAGAAAATATTTCGTCAATGGAGAAGGAATTGGAAATGGTCAGGTACCAACGGCTACTTCTCCTTGCTGGTACAGCCACGGCTGAAAGATCAGCTGCTATAGAGTTAGGTGACCTTCAAGAAGCTGATATTTTGCTGAAGGAAGCCGAGGCTGCAGATTCTGAAGCCAGAAAGATTCAGCCAACTTCCAAAGTTGAGGAGGAAGAGTTTGATACCGTCCCAAAGTCCTTCATTTCCATGGAACTTGTTGCCACTCTCGATAGGAATCAGCTAGCTGAACTGGCAGCATCTACTCAAATGGCTGAACCATGAACCAAGGTATTATATTGTAGAAAATGCTGTTTTTTTTGTCTGAAACTTCTGTTTTCTGATAACCATGGGGTTAAAATTTCCAAGAGAAAAGATCACAAATGTGGTTAATTGATTGAAAGAAAATAAGATCCCAAGAAAGGGACCCAGAAGATGTTTGAATGTCAAAAGGCTCGAGTTCTGTTCCAAATACCTATTTTTTGTTTTATTTCTCATCCATCCACCCATGCATTTTTATTGGGATTTTGACTTCAAGTCTTTTCTTTGAACCTGTTTATCTACAGAATGTTGTACAAACCATTGCATTTGATGTCATTTTCTATCCTTTTGAGTTGTCAAGACCTTTCCTATAATTTACTTGTGTGATATTGTTTAAAGCCATTGTTCATGGAAACAACCTTTATTCCCCTTGGAGTAGAGGAAATGTTTGCCTACATTTTATCTCTTTCAGATTGTACTGTCGAGTGGGATATACTGGTTACGTTTAGTTTGGTTGTAGTTATATGTTTAAAAGTTTGATCTTATCTGATTTTGGTGATGATTAAGGAACTTATGCTTCTCTTGTCATGGTTGTGTTGGTGATTTCAGTGCCATCAAGAGTTTTGGTGTAATTGTGTTTTACATGTAATCGACTAGGTGATAAAGCAAGCATAATGTGAGTATGGAGGTGCAGAATGCACATTCACATATGTTGCCTCTATTACCTTAAATCGCCATAAGTCGGGGTCAAAGGGGCTCCTAACATAACCAGGAGGTCTCGGTTCAAATCGAAGGAGGAATAAAAATCCTCTTGTAGCCACGGAGGTTCAAATGCGGTGATTCCGGGCTATCTGCAAAGCAGGTGGTCGTCCTGGGATTAGTCGGCTCACATAGCGGTTGGATATCCAGGTTAATAAAAAAAAAGGGGGCTCCTAACGTGGTTCCAGACATCTGTGAAGACTAGCTCAAAAGTTTAAGTTGAAATTCAGAACCATATTTGATCTTATTCTTAGGCAGTTTGCTTTGTAACTGTTGTGCAGATATCAAAACCGCTTAACTGATCCGTAACCATAATACCAAAGGCCGTACAAGCTCGAATTAGTGTATTTGGAAAGTGAACATGTACACGATCCAATTACTTATTCATTCCGTGTATCATACGAATGTACATGTCAACATGCATACACTTATAAAGCTCGAGACTCCGATACCAATTTCAGGGTCGAACTTGAATCGATATTCAAACTCAGAAAGCAATAAATAGATAAATACCCAAATGAGGCAGTTGATATAAATTAATCTAATGAATTTAACATAAGAATTTCTATAACAGAATGAGCAATGAGCTTGAGCTACATAAAGACTATAGATTCCAATAAATCCCTTCTAATCTTTAAATGCATCAAACATAAAAACACATTGAAACAACACCAAAACCAAATTATGATCATCATGTATGTCTCTAATACAAATCTCCATTCTCTTCTCTCTATTTCGATTCACCGAGCTCCGCTTTCTCCACTCCGTCCTTCAATAAATTTAACTCCTCTTCCGTCAAACTATGCTTAGAATGGGGCGCGCTTTTGCTGCTCGCCTTTTCCACCTCCACCGCCCAACTATAAATCACCATTCCAGCAACTGCAACCAGCATTCCCAGAATGTTCTTGAAGGTCAGCTCTGAATCAAATAAGAGCCACCCTAAGGTCAGCACACATACAGTTTTCATGTGGCCTAAAACCTGGAATGAAACCGCCGAGAACCGCCCGATGCAGAGGTACTGGCTAATGTTGCAGAAAACCGCCAATGAGCATGAAATGAGAATGAATATCTGCGAATGGTACTGACTGAATCAGATGTATGGTCGACAGTAAAAAAAAAAAGCCATTTGAAATGAAAGAAAAAAGTTTGCTTACAATTGCACCAGAAGATATGGTTTTCATATAGTTAGAAATAAGATTTCCGGTTAGATAATAGTCGATGAAAGGACCGAATACAAGGAGTGAGAGAGCTTGGATAGGAGCGGTTTTACTCAATAACTCGAAAGCTCCAACAGAGTACTTCTTCTGCAAGGAGCCGATAGACTGCAAGTACATTATATACATCAATTGTCAGATCACAAATAAGGTGGCACACACAGCGGCGGATCCAGAAAAATTTCCATGCGGAGGCACTAAATAATTAGCATAATATAAAATTAAAAAAATAACTATAAAAAGTACCGTCTAATGAAAAATGACAAAGTGGTTTTTTACAACACCCAACTGGTTTTTTCCTTCTTTTGTCCTTTTTTACCAAAAAATAAACCGAGGGTCAAAAGGATTCGAACTTGCAACCTCTGATTACCATGCAAGGACAGTACCAGTAGACTACAACCAATTCGCTGATTGCAAACACGGTATGGGTAGATGTTACAGATGACAAATCAAGCAATCAATTGATGAATCAATTTCCTTTTGGGCGTAAAGCGTCTGTAGGTGGCTTTTTAAGTGTGCCATCAAATCCTCTTTCACACATCAATTGAAGTGGATACACCTTTAAGACCCCTAAATTTTCCCACTGTGACGGTATGATAGAGCGCTTGCCGGGTACGTGCACCCCCTCTGGCCGTTTTAAATCCTCCCGTAGACGGGAGGAAGGGAGTTGGGAGGTAGAGGGTAGGGATTAGTGCTAGTGAGTCGGTAGTTAGGTTTTATGTTTTTCTTGTACTCAACTCTCTTCATGTTACCGCTGCTTACTTATATTCAGCTTTTCAAATTTCAATGTTACCCGTTTTTCTCTCTTTCTCTCTCTTTCACACACTTTTCACAAGTTGAGGGTCTTCATGGAAACATCCGCTCTTCTAGGTAGAGGTCAAGTCTACGTATATCTTACCCTCCCACACCCCACCTCTAGGTGGGATATATTGTGCTCGTTTGGTTTGGTTACAATGTAAGAACACAAATGTTAAGAGAAGAGGATTAAGCTCACAATTTGTTGCAATGATGTTGCCAAAACTGCTACGCATGCACATATAAAACCTTTGGCATTAACTTTGACATCAGTCACGGTGCAAACGCCCACGCCTATAACAACAACTACAACAGCAACTTTGACTTCCTTTGAGTAACGTTTACTATGAAGAATCCACTCCATTACACAAACCACTGGAATCATGCTCAGTTTGGAAATCTACACCACAGAAAAAAAAACACTCCAGTTATTAGCACGACTTCTTAAAATTATTATCTATAAAAATAGTAACGAAGCAAGTGCATTGTTGATTGTTGACATCAAATAAAACCAAACAAATCCAGTATATCTATATCCCACTCGACAGTCGGGTCTGGTTTAATGGAAAATTTTCTTATTTCTGTTGTAAATTCTAATTATGGGTTTCCCTAATATTAGTGTCTCCTAGATGATAAATAAACTACCACATCCACTTTGGCATAACTGAAAATAAATCAGCTACATATGTATTATGTTGTGGAATTGTAACAGAATCTTTTACATAGAACATGTGTAGAAAGTCATTTAAGGAATACATACTTGGTAGAATCCAACGGAATTCAGCATAAGACTGAGGTTCATCCCTGTGATCGACATATTTGCAACAATTGAAAACCAGAGAAGTTCCCACAAAGGAACATGCTTTGATGCAGTGTATCCCGTAGAATTTGACACGAACCCGACCAGTGCAGTTACAGCAAAGTGGAATCCCGTCAATGTTGTGGCTGGAGAGAGCAACATGGCACTAAGCCGATTAGTAAAGGCATCACAACTCGGCCGGAAAAAAATCTAGGTTTCATAGAGTAAGATACAGTTCAGAAACAACAATTAAGAAAAACTTAAGAAAGAAAAGTAACCAACGATCACCACAATCTCCTCTTGTACCTTCCACAGATGTTAATTTGTGGTGAATTTAATCGGTTATAAGCTGAATTATTCAGCTGGTTAGAGTTGGTAGGTCGTTTTATCTTGTAAGTAATTTTAGAAAGTCAATTCATGTTCAAGCTGTATAAAGTACTCCCTCCGTCCCGAAATAAGCTTGCACATTTCTATAATAGTTTTGTCCCAAAATAAGTGTCCACTTTCAAAAGTAAGTGTTTGCCTTCCAATTCTACCCTTAATTATGAGCTTGAGAAATTTATTACTCCCTCTATTATTAAGAGTAAACTTGTCATTTAGTTAATTAAGAAGTGTAATAATTACAAATTTTTTAAACTGTGAACCTTTTTCAATGTGAACTATTATTTTGCGACTCTAGCTCCCTAGAATTATCTTGCAATGCAAACTCAACATGGTATTTCAATTTCTACATACCTTCTGAAGGTAGAAAGAACGTTCAGAAATTTCAGATTTGAATGCAGAAGAAAGAATCAACAAAGTAAAACTTGGAGAATCCTCATACGTGGTTTTGAAGGAGTATACAAACCTTATCTCACCTCTGTTCAAGCATCGGTTAAGGAATTAGAGAGTTTGTTGCCCAACCAAGATACACAAAAAGAAAAAACGTGAACGGGGACTGGATTGATGATAAACAAGAATCATGGGTTGCAAACAGTGATTCGATTGATGATGAAAAAAGAGAATTATTGGTTCAGTTCTCCACCTTAACGACAAAAAGGGGATCCACAAAATTAGTTCTATACATATGCCCAACAATGAGAAAAATAAATGCAATAGCTAAATTTAGCATAATGGTTGTCAAGAACGATGATCTCAGGAACAGCTAAGGTTCTTTTCGCTAAGTGTAAGACAAAAGAGAAGGACAACTCAAAGTTTACAAGATGTGAAAATAATCAAGCAAGGAACTTCAATTATATAGTCTGCCGCTGGTAAGGATACAGAAATCTTGATGGAATTCCGGTACATCATCAAAAAAGAAACAACCACTCTACTAACTCTTTAGGTAGAGATCAGGTCTGCATACATTCCAACCCCACCCTCCCCCCCACCTCCAAAAAAGAAGTCCAAAAGACCCCACCATTTAAATCACTAAATATGGAAAAGCAGAAAGACTCAACCCTCTAAAGATATCATCCCCCTGATCAAACACAAAAGAGATTGCTGGTGTTTGATAGCTCATATGCTTATAAATCTGCACATGAGTGCATCCACTCCAGTTCGGATATCTTTCCCGGAAAAACAAAGATATCAACCACCGATATTAAGATCTGGGAAATTCAATGATTTATATAATGAGGTCAGCTTTATACAATTCTTGCATAAAGATGTGATATAGACATTGTAAGCACTTCAATTGTATCTTGTTGTACACTGAAGGCATAACCCCAAAACAGGATTGGGATCTCTTTAAAAGTCAGTCCACATATAACCTAAACAAAGTAGAGCTGAATTTAGGATCATACAGTAAAATTCAAATTCAATCTCTGGGGTTAGAAAGTAGATCACGCAAACTAATGCACAGATTTAGCAGCAACTAATCGGTCAAATACAAAATTCCCCACGGATCAATAAGATTACAGGAAGCATATACTCAAACAGGTGGCAGATCTACACAAATATCGCATTCAATTGAAGTAGAGAGAACTATAATACGAGATCTAAGAACTGACCGAAAGAGAACGAATAACCATTGGCGGACATGAGCTGCTTGTTGGCCATAATGATTCCAACAGAACTTATAACATTCATAGCCCAGGCACCCACATCGGATACGGGAGAAACTTTCTTCTCGCTCTCCATTATCCCTTCTCTTTCACTCACTCGATCTCACAGAGAAGTGTTGAAGAAACTGTAAAGAATTGAGGAACACAAGAAAAGGGGGAGAGGAAAGTGAAGATTTGGAACACCCACCGACGGCAATTTCAAGAAGGGTCCAAATGGGGTCTAGAGTAGCGAGTGATGGGGTTTTATACGAGCACGATGGTTGACAGCAAGAAGAAATCAAGATTCCAAGAATAACAGGGTGATAAGAAAGGATGCCATTAGCGAGCGGTGATCTGGTTCCAGTCTTGGATGAAGACAAGATCCATTTGGGAGAAAAAAAATATAGGGAAAAAGGGTGGAATTAGCAGAGCTTGTTTCTGGTCTTTGGTGTTTCTATTCCTTTTCACTGGAGTTATGAGTCAGTTTACCCACTTCTTTTTGCCATTTTCATGTTTCTTTAAACCTCTGTAATTCATTGATTTGTACCTTTACAGCATCTTCAAAGAGTTATGGTGTCTTCCTTTTAAATTTGAATGTTTCTCTATTTTCTATTTTATTTGTTTCTGTTTTAGATGAAAGTTTAGCATAGTTGTTAGAACAAATTTTTATCATTAAAATAAAATCAACTTTCACTTAATTCTTATTTTTGAGAACCAACTTTCAAAATCATCATTTAAGGGTGTCTATCAAACTTTTTGTTTATTTAAGGGTATGTTTGATCTATTGTATAGGTATCAGGTAATTTAAGAGTGTCTATCAAACTTTTGGTTTGATTTGCCAAATTTGATTTGAACTTTATATTGATATGGTTTAGTTGGATGCAAAAATCTTGAATGTGATATTTAATAGTTATTTTTTATTGCATTAATTAGTTTTTTTCTATTAAATTGATTTTTTTATTGCATTAGTAAAAAAATAATTTTTATTGTGGTAATTTGAATTCTTTTTGAAAAAATCTTTAATTTGATATTTGAATTTAAAAAAAACAAGATTTGAAATGAAAAATAGATTTTATTACATTAATTTAAAAAAAAAACGAATTTTAGTTATTTTTCTATAATTATTTTGTAATTTTAAATATGACGTGAAATATTAGTTCTAATATAAAAATTAATGAGACATGAAATATCTTAGTTGACAAAAAATTTGGATGATATCAGCATTAACAGGTCAACAGGTTAACCAGACCTTTAAATAAACAAAAAGTTTGATAGATACCCTAAATGACGATTTTGAAAGTTGGTTCCCCAAAATAAGAATCAAGTGAAAGTTGGTTCCATTTTTGTGCAATTTTCCATTTCAAAAAATTTAAAATAACATAGTTGTTGAAGATGCATGTAAATCATATCAAAATGAAATGTAAAGAAATCTGATCAAACGAGTTTATTCTGGATGAATATTTTCACTTTTTAGTTAATTTTTCATATTTGAACTACAATAGTCAAGATTTTACAAGTGTCCATTTCCCAACTTACAAGATTTTATGGATGAATTATGATTCCGATGGGCCATTTTGTAAGCTGCTACGCCAATTTTACAAGTCGACTCCACCAGAATTATATATAATTAAAAAAAAATGATGTTTTGCAAATTGGGAGATGGAAACTTGCCAAAGTTTGACTATTTTGGTCAAACCGAAAAAGAAAAGTAGGTTAAAAGGTGGACAATAGCGTCTAGAATTTACTAATTTGGTTGATTTTTCTAAAATTATGTGTTGTTCGGTTTTTATTTTTAATAACCTGTTCTTGAAAGTTCGAATTTGATATCTATGACAAGATATGTCGGACAAGAAAAAATAATTGTTTTTCAAGAAAGCTTTTGGGCAAATTGCATGATAAATAATGTACTTTAACTTGATTCTTGTTTTTTTGTAACGTAAGTACCTAAGATGTAAGTTTTGAACATTTAAGTACCTGAGAAACCGGTTGAAAATAAACCATAATACATAAAAACTAATTTTAGATTAAGATATCCATGTCAGCAAATAATACTGAGTTGGATACCACATCAACATGATAACTGGTTAATGATGCTTTCTTTTTTGGCGAATCATAAGTGCTGACGGGTACTCAGGTACAAAAAATACACAACAGAGAAATCACAAAAACATTGGAGCTCGATCTAAAGGTAAAGTGTGGGACGTAATTTGTTTTTGTTTTCTAACCACTGTATCCTGTAAAACTATCGCTCATCAGGGTGAAGCTGTTATTAGGGAATTGCACTCAGCACAAGCTTCGGACCTTGTCTCTACCTCTCTTTGTTGTTTTGCTTTAAACGATATATGTTGGTGTGTTTGCTTCCGTTGTAAATGAAAAGTAAGATCACATTTGTTAACCAAAATGTCAAAATTATACTTGGACCATCTAAAGAAACGTTTTAGATGAATTTTGTAAGCAAGTTTACGAAAGACATGTGGCGTAATAGCATTCAATGTTTCAAACAATTTGACTGATATGAGGTTATAAGTTGAAGTCGTTAATTTTGTGCGAACAAACTCTTAATAATAATAAAAAAAAGAAACCTAACATATATCAAGGGGTCATTATTTTAGGGGCTATTTATTAGTTACTGATTGGGTTGACTCGATCAGCAATATTGACTCGATCAACATTGGTTGTTTGACAGTTGTTGAATAGTTTGGTGCATAATGATTAAGTGGTCAAAATGATTAATAGACCTTCATGATATAATGCAAGATGAAATATTATTGTTTGGTAGTTGTTTACAATGAAATCATAATGCTTAATGATTAAGAAAGACTGAAGATACAAAATTATTCAAAAGAATTTTAGAACCATTAAAAACAAATATTTTTTTTATCAAACAAGATTTATCTGTTATTAATTCAGATATTGTCTCTAATGTCCTAAAATCAAAATCTGACCGTAATACCTATCGAAAACTTGCGGAATCAGCTCTAAAATGATGCTTACCCCGGTCACTTTTATGTTTCCAGAGCGTGTCCATTAGGTTTTTCATCTGTTACTCGCTCCTCCTTCTCCCCCTCATCTCTCCTCGTCCTTCCTCTCATCGGTCGTCGCTCCTCCTCCCTCCTCCCGTCTCATCTCTCCAGCACGGTTCATAAGGGAATTTGATTGTGTAAGGTATGTCTGTGATGTGATCTTAAAATTACGACATGTACAAATTTGATTGCATTTGGTGAATTCCCTTTTTGAATTATTGCCCAGATGTTTCTTGCATCAGTTGTTTTCACTGCAGTTTGCAGTGAAACATACATGTTCTGATGTTCATCCTTGTAGCATTCCAAAGTGTTCTTTACATTTTCTTGTTAATATAGTATGGTTTAGGAGAGATCTGAGGGTAAAAGATAACCCTGCTTTAGCTGATGGTGTAAGAGCAGGTAAAGTGATAGCAGTGCCAGTGTTCATATGGGCACCTAAAGAAGAAGAAGGCCATTATTGATTCATCCTTAAAGAATCTTGGAACTTTTCTTATCACCAAGAGATATTCTGATAGTGTTTCTTCTCTTCTTGGTGTCACCAAATCCACTGGTGCTACTCAAATCTTCTTTAAGTCAGCCCCTAACTTCATTTATATGGGGTATATCGTTTATCCTTTTCTCTTTTTGGTTATAATTTTAGCAGATTTCAAGGATGTCAATTTCATGTTTCTTGTATGAATGCATCATAGATCTTTAGCTACAAGTTCCATGAACTTTTTAACCACAGATAAAGATTTTAGGAGCTTGAAAACTTTGAAGCATACCCCTTTTGTTCTATTTTGATATGGAACACAGACTTATTGAATTAAAACACCCAGATCAAAAAGAGCATTTTCAAACCTAGAAAAGCTTTCTTCATCTAAAAATCAACAATCTTGAAGAATCTGATTGAATTATTTGATCTCAGAATGCAAATATTCCCTGAAGTGAACTTCCCAAACTCCATTATTGATGGGTACATTAATCTGGCCTGCAGACATGTAGTTCGACTTTGCTGCAGAATTGGTTAAAGAACATATTGCTAGAATTAGAATATAAATATATTGGGATTAAAGAACTAAAACTATCTGTCAAGTTTTAATTTGAAAGGCTTTAAGGTTGAATTTACAGAATCAAAAGTAGAGCTAGTCTTCTGGAAATAGAGTACATACAATGCGTGCTTATATCAGACCCTAACTGGAAAGGGCATACAGATTGCAGTATATAACTCTGTCAGGGAAACAAAAAATAAAATAAAGTATTTACTTGTTTTAACAAGTTGCTTATATTTCACGGTCATTGCTAGGATTCTCATTGTTTCTTTAGGCTACAAAGCCAAAACTCTTTCAGACCCAGCTCCATATCTTAAACTCTAGCAGACGCAGCTATAACACATGAAATGTTAGCATTACCAAGGGTAGTGGCTGAACACACCTGCAACTTCCCCTTGTTAGGGAGACGTAAGGTGATTTACTTCCAAGGATCATAGATCTCAATCAAAACGTTTTTGCTGTTTTGTGTTCTAGCTATGCATATCCTAAGCTCCAAAGCTGTTCACGTTAGCTTTAAAGATTTTCGATTATGGGAGAGGACATAAGCTGATATTAGCCAGGGTCACGTTTGCACAGCCGAAAAAGGGTGTTGGGTCTTGAAAATGACTTGAGTGGTTTGTTCTTTTCAAGCTAAATCAAAATACTGGGAACTTGTGTCATGTGGGTAGGAAATAATATCAGTTTCTACATATTTTAGTTCAGAGGCTAATACAAAAGCAGAGGCAAAAACATAGTTGCAGGCCTCCAGTTGGCCAGCAATCATGGCTTACTAGTCCTCACATTGCAAGTGATTCTGAATTGGTTATACAAGATATTAAAGTTGTTTTGGTGTACACACAGAGGTTGATCAAGAAACCTATTCATAATGGGTGTCTCCTTAATCAATGCGTACAGCTTGAGCACAATCACACAAACTTCATAAGAAAATTTGGCGTATTGGCGATCTTTCCATTTGTTGTACCTTTTAGACGATAATATTGTACATGCTTTACTTTGATGTGATTCTGATATGTTTCCCTTTGTATGTGTATCCTTTCTTAAATTTGCTCATGTATAATTGTACTCCCTATATATTGAAATGGAATACAAGGAAATCCTGAAGGGGATTATTCCAGAATTGCAAACTCTATTAGTACTAAAGCCTGTTAGTGTTCATGGCCTTCCTGTTCTTCAGGTTATTTAATTACGCTTCCAGAAGGAGTCTATGGCTTGCTCATCCCACTTGTTTATAAGCTTTTGTCTCTAATGAAGTGGTAATCGTGTATAAGATAGTTTAGGGGGAGCTGATTGGATGAACCTACTTGGACTTTTGTGTAGGATATGGCTTCTGTGAACACTGTGCAGGATTCCACAAACAAATATGTACGAGTATCATGTACACAAATAGGTCATATATATCAACCAAAAAACCATGGTGATCTAAGCAACTAGCATTGTGGAATATTTCACTATTGGAAATGGATATGCTTGCATTGATCATTGCCAAGGTTGCATAAGCAAATTGTTGTTGATGGTTAGAGATGCTTTAGGCCATGATTTGGCAACCATAAAGCCAAAAAAATAAACCCACTCACCTGTCACATTGCTAGAATAAACCTTGTCGAAGTCAAAAAGCCAAAACTGTTCTGTAGTTGATGAAAATTGACGAAATCAAATTTACAATTATATAGCTAGTGCAATGTCTATGTCTACTAATTGGGTCTTGAATTCCTTTGGATAACCGACCTACAGTTCAAGTACTATGATTTTTAATACTAGGTGTAAATTTTAATGGGTGTGTGTTTTCTTGAATCTTTATGTTTTAATCTAGTATGTTCTAATCTACTAATGCAAGCATGTAGTGGTAGAAGACTGAACCATTGTCATACACAGTAAGAACCACAAGACTGTATGAGAACGGCCTAATCCCAAGTTTGGCTAGAAGAGCAGCCTCAGAAGAACCCACTTTGTCACCCTTCTTGATGAGCTCCACAAGGGTGATGATTTCAACAGTACCCTTGTTAATCTTGGTGGGAATGTTAAGGACCTGAAGAGTTGTAATTCGATATTAGGAACGACTTCAAGAGCATTTGTAGCGTGTTGAGCATAGAAATTACAAATATTAATACCTGGAAGAAAGAAGTCTGAGAGGGATCTAGACCAGTGTTTCCAGGGGGAACAACCACAGCCACTGGAGCCACTAATCCAACCTGATAATAACATAGTGTCATGTTATAAGCCAGAACCATCAAATATACACTAATCACAAAGCTATAAATCTTGAAACATGCATAAAACTACAGCAAAAATACTTTGCAAGGGATTAACAATTTATATTGCTTTGGCAACAACTCAAATACAAAAACCATAACAAGAAAATTCCAAATTCTCATACAGAAACCAAACAACATAATTTAAGAAAACTCAAATTGGCTGGCACAAGTACATCTAAATGGGTTAAACAAGAAGCAGAACTGTTGTCACTCTCTAATATAAAATCAAAGAAAGATATTTATGGTCAAATCAAGACTTCCTGATTCCATTCTACTACTAATGCAATGTCTATGTCTACTAATTGGGTCTTGAATTCCTTTGGAGTTCCAGTCTCATCCGGTGATCTTTGATGGCCAGATGGATCAAGTTGCTTGCTGTTTATAGTAATTATCGAGTCTTTTCCTATTGACATTGTCATAACATATAAATATCACTTGAAGTGGGATCATTAGAGGGTATTAGAAGAGAGAACGACATGCTAATGAAATAAAAGATACTTGATTTGTCTAGACAAATGGGTCTGCTATTTGAAAATAGAACCCAATGGTCTTGGGGCTGTCACTGATATTCTAGCTGCAGGATTTTAGATGTTCTGTTCTATAGTTTATATATGTGTTTAAAAACCTTTTAGTATATTCTTTTTCTTTTGGTTACCTGCTGTCCAGCACCCTTATCTCGACTTTGATGCTAATTTCGACTTAGATGCAGCTTGTATTTGCGAAAACTCAAAACATGAAAGTTGTAAGCCCGTCCGTTGGCTTTCCAAAACATCTTGAATCGCCTTATCAAAGCTCGGATGAGTCAAATATGGTCGAAACGCCACAGCCTCGCAAATCTGTCAAATATCCCTTTTTGTTCTTTCACTTGTTGTGCACAACTTGTTTTACATAATTGTTATCTTTCACTTGTGTTCACAACTTGTTCTAGAAAGAGCATATCGACCTCATTTTTACCATTCTTCTTTTTTACCTTGGGAGGTCTAATTCCTCATTCCTATGATCAGTTTTTGTTGGATTTAGGAAATCATCTTGAATGGTGATAATGCATATAAAAACTATATATAAAGACACAATTTACCAGATAACTATGGAAACAAGATAATCACAAATCATTATGCAACTATCAAGGCTACACTTACGGAGAGTCATCCTTTTTTTAGAATGTTCTTGCCAACATCACTGTTAGTTACCAGTTTAGACCTAAATGAATTGCAAAATCACTAGCCTTATGTTTTGTGGTTGTGTAGACTTAAACTAATTCATACATATCAGTAATCAGTAATCATAATCTGTAGGTGCATTCTTGTTGATAATTCGACATTGATGTGAACCAAGGAAACCAAACAAATTAGATAAATAAAAGCATTGATGAGGAAAATGCAATGACTAGAGATGAAGTACCTTAGTAATGAAAATAAAACATCTTCAAACCATTGAGGCAAATCGTCTTCAACAAGCATTAATCAATCAAATTCTAGAAAAGGATGACTATCTGTACTTGTAGCCTTGATAGTTGTATATGATTTGTGATTATCTTGTTTGCATATTTATCTTGTAAATTGTATCTTTATATACAGTTTCTATATGCATTATCACCAGTCAAGGTGATTTCCTAAATCTCATAGATGTATTATTATTTTATGCATTAGTTATGTATGAAGTCAACATGCAAGGCAAAGTACCCCATTGCTTTCTTTGCCAATGGAATATATTAACTGCTTTGACTAGCTAGCATTGAATGCTAGAGTTATAGATAAGCTCATTGAAGACTTGATATTCATGATGAGTAGAATCAATACAAATCTATAAAATGCAGCTTTAGCAATGTCACTATAACAGTCGAAGATGTAGCAAGGACGTTTAGTGAGGAAGTGCCAATGAATGAGATATACTTAAGATAATATAACTAAAGGGAAGTTGGGTATTGGTGAGCAACTTAGTAATTGGTTAAAGGCAGGATGAGTTAATCGTTCCACTTGTCTCATGTGACCATAAATGTATTGAAGTTTGAAGAGCAGTTGTACAAAATTGGAGGAAGCCATGTTATGCTCCAAGGAGATGAATTTGGGGTCTCTAAAGGGCCTGACTTCTTTTTTTTCTTTCTCATAAGCCCTGTCTGTATAAAGACATATGTTTGGAGTAAGTGGTAAATGATCAGTTATTGTTTGTTTAAAATTATTATTTAACCTTTTGTTTGAATTAAGCGTTGAATGAAAAATGTGTTGTATGAAAATTCTCAATGACAAAAATTCTTAATTTTTAATTTTTGTAAATAAAGATATTTAATCTAAGGGGCTGTTTGGTTGGTTTTCCATTAAGTACTGTATGGGTAAAGCCGTCTGTGTGGATTAATTTGTTTGTGTAGATTGCTAAGGTTTTTGTTTGAGATGGTTTATCATAGATGGAAGGAACATGCTTTTTAATTGGAGGGATAGGTTTGGGAAAAAACTTGGCTTTCTGCATAAAGCTCTCCCCTAGAAGCTTACTGAATAAGCCACTACCAAATAGTCTTGCATAGCCGACCAAATAAGCTGTGAGTCCCATTAAGGTCATTAAGCTGCTAACAAATATGCCCTAACATATGATATAAAGTCAATGTTGAGTATAGATGAAATAATAGAGCGGTATAATGGGGAGAAATATTGGCTTAAACCGAAACACACGTTATCTACACTGAGCGATTAAGTCATCAACTTAATCAATACGCCATAAACAATTATATACATATGACCGAGCAAAGAAGCCATTCTTCCTGTTAAGACCATCAAGCTAAAAACAAACAAACAAACATACACCTAAGGCATCAAGCCCACGTTTGATCAATGTAACAGACATTATTTAAAGGTTGATATATGACATTTTTTGCAATGAGGATACTCTAAAGAAGGTCAAAGGGAGTCACTTCAGAGAAGGTGAATGAGCATCTCTTGTGATGGATTGTTCATCTCCACAAGGAGGAGCAACTTGTACCAAAAATGCAATTGACGATAGATATGGGTAGCCCAGCATGTAAAAGAGGTATAGAGAGGGACCTAACAAACTGTACCTTAAGATTTGTATGCAAGCAGAGTGTGATCTAGGTTGGTCACTTGGTCAGCTTCTCTTCGTAATTGTTATGTGAATTTTAGCTTATCATGGAGACTTGAAGTTAGTGAACAGTTTTTCCACTCAGGTTTCTGAATAAGTTTATTATCCATCCATCATTGACCTATATACCCGAAAGAGTGCTTGTAGAATTGCAAAAGACAACCAATTGGTTTGTTTTGTATTAGTAGCTCGACTTCATCCACATGGGAGAATTATCATGGAGACTTGAGGTTCATGAACAGTTTTTCACTCGGGTTTCTTAAAGTTTGTATTGTCTATTGTTGCTTTCTTTCTTGAGTTCTAATTGCAGACAATAAGTTCATAAATTGTATTTTGTTTCGATTACAACTGTACCTTATTTTAATTAAGCATATGAATTTACACATTATACATTTTCTTTCTTGAAATGAACACTTTCTTAAAGACACTTAGAAGGTAGGGACAGCATCCATGCTGCAACGCCAGTCATGAGACGGTGATCATGATCTGAGTATGAGTTTTTAGGGTCTATCCACATGTGAGTACGAATTTGACATGTGGATGATCTAATTTATAGGAGTAACATAAGGGCCCATTTGGTTTGGCTGAATGTTTTTGAGGGATTTAGATTTTGTGGAAGGACTTGGATAGGAAGGATATGGAGTTGAAAGTTTTGGAATCTTTGGTTTCTGGGATTTCGAATGGAATTGAATTCCATTCTTTTATAAATCTTGTTTGGTTTGTAGGTTGGAATGAAATTTAAATGTTATGATCTTACATATTATGCTTCGCCTCAGAAGAATCAGGGAGATGAGATGTGGAGGCAATGGAAAGATTAGGGCAGATTTGATGAAAGAGGCAGGGTAGAGGTGTGATGGGAACAATTGAAATCCATCTTGGATTTGAAATGACAGCCATCTCCAACGGATTTCTAAATTTGTCGGTTGTTGGATTTCAAATCCAAACTTCCCAACAAACCGAACATCAGATTTGAATGGAATTCAATTCCAAATCCCGCAAACCAAACAGGCCCTAAGGTTATTGTTTTCATATTAGACGTAGAAAGTGCCCTTTCAAGGTATGCTTAGGAGATGCCGGATTATTCCGGTTTAATGGCCTCATGTGGCTGATTGTCTGATTACAAAGGACTTTTTAGGGCTCAAGGATAAATGATAGCATTGATGTTAAATAATTTGAAGTATAAAGGAGTAGGTCTAGTTTACATAATTGAATAGCCATTTAATGTACTTGTTCTTATTCTTTCGTTTGTTTTCTTTTCAATTACTGTTATAAAGCATATGTAGATGTAGATGAAGGACTCTCGTCCATAATCACACAGATACGTTTCCCTTTTTCAGGAAGTGGTCTCGAAAGCTATGGATGATTCATTTACCATTCAAATAAGCGGCAACTTAGTCAAACAGCTAGCTGATGACAGCGAGAGAGCGAAGAAGAAAACCAGGAAACCAAAACCAAAGACACCGAAAATCCCCCAACAAAGCCAAGCCAAACCCACCAATCAGAAGGAGATCCATGACGACTCTCAAGCCCTAAAAGGTGGGCTCCCTGCCACCGCCGGATGGCCGCCAATGTACCTCCCAATTCCTCCACCTGCACCACCTGCTAATCCAGAGCTAGATGCCATCCGTTCCGTCCTTCAAGACAGTGAAAGGGTTCTGGAAAAACTAAAAAAGCAAGAAGATGAGATGGTGGTGGAAGTAACACAAAAGGCAAAGGAACTTCATGATAAGGAGTTTAAACTTCCACAGCCAAAACCCATGCCGTGTTCGGCCGATTTAACCGCCTGCCTGGATTGCTACAAAGAGAACACCAAAGACCCGCTAAAATGCAGTACGGTGGTGAAGAACTTTGCTGATTGTGCTCGCACCATAAGGCAACAGGTGACTTCATCAAATCAATAAAACTTGTGATGCACATGATTTTGCTCGACAACGGAGGCGGGAATAACTCAACAGGGGAACAGAGTATGTGTTTTGTTGGACAGTTTTTACAAATATTTGAAATGTTGTAAGGTTACATGGTGTTATTGTTAGAGTGATGAATCAATCCTTTTGGAAATTGGGAAAAATAAAAAAAATTCTCCTCATTAATTAGCATCCGATTGAATGGTAATCGACTTCATCAATGATTTGATGTCTAAAGTCTTCATTCCTTAAATGGTTTTGATGTCTAAAATAATATGCATCAATAAACAATACTTCATGCATAAAAAATGATTTTTAAGAGTTTTTGTCAAATAATTTATAATACAATACAATATATATATATATATATATATATATATGTGTGTGTGTGTGTATGTATGCATACATGTGTATGTATGTATGTATGTCTATATAAGGGTTGAGTCATTTGTTAACCATATATTAACTGTTATGTGTGTGAATCAATCATAACCTTTAATTTATTCAATCTACGTGGTAAAACATCATTAACATCTTTGTAGTAATAGTAAAATGAATGTGTGCTATGTCGCAATGAACAATAGTGAACAAGGTAAAATTGGAAAAATTTAGGAACTTTTATTATGCACCAATTTCAGTTACCGGGAATCTCTCCTTCATCGTTTTGAAACCGAAATCAACCATATTTTACTTGTTCATTTATGAATAGTTATTAGTTCACAAATGAACATATCAGTATATCACTGAAAACATTAGAAACAAAGAAATCATCTGAATCAATATATTGAATGGTGTTGTGTCATTTTGATTATCCATCATTCAAAATAATTTGAACATAACCATTGAGAATATTGAGAATGATGATATATTTGTCATCCCTAAAAACAATCAATTATTTTTTATAGCATCCCATTTAGTACAATAAAGCAACTTAAAATGAAAATTACCTTTTTTTTTTAAGTAACCATGACTAAAGAATGATTTTGATTGGTCAAACGAGTTAACAAAGTTAACACCATTTTTTGGGTTAACAAAAGATCTTCTGCCCCACCCCTCTCTCTCTCTCTCTATGTGTGTGTGTGTGTGTGTGTGTGTGAAGATTTGATTTTTTTTACCTTCACAACATTTTGTTGTGAAGTTTTAAATGTAAAAATGTTGTCTTACGTGTCTCACGAAAACAGGTTGGTCTCACGTGAACCCAATCCTATATGTTGTGAAGGTAACCTTCACAGTGTTTTTGCAGTGAATGTTCAGATTTTTTTTTACTTTAACAATATTTTGTTGTGAAATTTCAAGTGTAAAAGTGTTGTCTTACTTGTCTCATGAAAACAGGTTGGTCTCACGTGAACCCAACCCTATATATATTGTGAATGTAACATTCACAGTGTTTTTGCTATGAATGTTCGGATTTTTTTTACCTTCACAACATTCTGTTGTGAAGTTTCAAGTATAAAAATGTTGTCTCACGTGTCTCACGAAAACATGTTGGTCTCACGTGAACTTATAGGGTTAGGTTCACGTGAGACCAACTTCAACATTTTTACACTTGAAACTTCACAACAAATATTGTGAAGGTAAAAAAAATCCAAACTTTCACAACGCTTTGTTATGAAATTTTAAGTGTAAAAATATTGTCTCACATGATTCCAAGTCTCTCTCTCTCTCTATATATATATATATGTATATGTATGTATAATATAGGTGAAGGTTTAAATAGAACAATACCATTTTACGAAAACGCGATAGTAAAAAAGATACAATCATATAATAAGTCAACCATCACAAAACACATCTCGTATCCATTCCAATTTTGAATCGGGCTTAAAACTTGCCCCACATATATGTGACGAAGGTTTTTGACCAACCATATGTAGGAGCGAATTAACAGGTGTTCTTCGCTCCACATCTAATAGATTTCGGCCAAAAGATCCAATCAAATCATTTATTGGATGTTGATTTTTTTGATAACTAATCAAATCATTGGATGTTGATTTCTTACAACACATCCAATCATCCAATTATTTCACTTAAAAGCACTATTCATATAAATTGAACGACCAATATAAATAAACAAGTCTTGCATATCAAATACAGATATTACATAAAACACATCTATCCATACGTTGTATTAGACTTTCAATCGCCATTCAACAACCAACCATTCCAATAAGTTCTTGTAATTTTGAATCTAATCTAATCTAATTACAATTAAAAATCAACTGTAATTACATCACCTGTTATAATTGGATTGAATGACTTTTTTCACATCCGAACAAGCCCTGCAAAAGAGAACCTATGCATCCATGTTCATCACAAGAATCTTAAAAATAAACCAAGGTTGTTCATTCGAAGCCAACCACTCGACGGTTAACTAACTAACCACGATCGAATTTGCGCCGACTCGAACAGTTAGCCAAGCTTCACACCATCTTGAAAAACAAACCAAGCGAAACCAGTTAATCTCGCACAGGTATATAGTATGAGAGGAGGATGTAAGCAGAACTTCACTATAAGTTAATGAAAAGATGAAATTCAAACCGAGACAAAAATAAATACATAATAAAGCACGGTCGGGGCAGTCAACAACGAATTCAAGTGTTTACTCTACTCTTGCTTTCATACAACAATACATTATGTGCAGCAAGTTGAAAACCATTTCAAAGTATTCACTCAAACAACAAACTTAACTCCATCATCACAATGATACATACAACATTCCACACTCCATTTTCTGCAACTTCACTGAAATCTCTGAGCTCCGGGGGGTGCAGTTGGCATCGGGAAGTGAAAGTTTTCTACACCAGCAAAATGAGGAGCTTCCACATATGGGCTCTGCAAGGTCCATATAATGAATCAAGTCAAAACTGAAAACTTGATAAATCATACATATATATACACACACACACACACACAGAGTGAGGTTCACGGAAGAACTAAGGAACACCCTAAATAACCATTCACCTGTACGGTGTGCATATGTGCATACAAGTAATTTGTCTGGTATGTACATGTGCATAGAAACCAGGAAACATCTTCAATTTTACTTGTACGCACGTGTCGTACATATGAATGGTTATTAGGGTGTTCCTCACTTTTTCATTTTCTTTGTGGTTTCCCTGTGACTTTATGTGTGTGTGTATATATCTTTTTTATTAACAATTGCCTCTACAATCTCTGAAGAAAGAAATTGTATTATAACTTTAGTTTGTTATACACAAATGGGTAAAAGTACGTTTTAACAAGTGCATATACATCTCTCCTATGATATACATAAAATAGCTCGGCACATACTCTATACATCCCAAAATAAGTGCCCACAATAAAAAAAAAGCATACAATATTGGAAATATGTAATTATTACACTTTTTAGTTTACTAAATGACCATTTTACCCATAATAATAGATCGAGTAATGAATTTCTCCATCTTAAAATTAAGGGTGGAATTGAATTACTTTAGAACGTAGACCCTTATTTCAGGACACTTGTATGTTAAACAACCAATTTTGTTGAAGAAAGAGATGGCTGATTAGATGAAAGAAGTCAATTGTAATGGCCCAACTGCCGGCAGACATCACGAGCCAGGATGAGAATCGGTTACTTCAGAGGGAAACCGAACGAAGGATATAAATGAAAACAAGGTAAGGGTATACCTGAGGTGCAATGCTGGTTTGAGAGCTTTGACCCGATTCAGCCGCTCTTGAAGCATGATCTGGATCGCCTCCATTCAGATTATGCACACCGCCACTGTTTAGAATTGTTTCACTTTCATCTCCATTGGCTGACTTTGCCTTCTGAAACCGACATAATTATTTGGGCATCATGCATCAAGTCAAAGAGTGACATATGCCAACAATGTTATGTACCCAACGCATTTTCTTAAGATTTTATTTTATCTATTCCACGGCCCGGGAACGGATTCACCGCCGTATGGCTGACCGGTTTACATTTGGTACACAGACAAGGCTGAACTAGACCAGACTGGTTGCAAGTATATATGTTATTATATATACACACATCATGCATTCATGTACTATAGTAATTTTTATTAATGTATAGATATATATAGTTATGATATACAATATATTTTATAATACATAAATATATAAATACACATCAGAGGTGGGTAATATAGTATACATAAATATATTTATGATATATATGGGCAGGTTCAACTGCAAATTTAAGTTTAGTTGTGAACCAGGAGACAAAGGAGAGCATGCCACATGTCCCAGATATTCATGATTAATGGTGTATCATTTATTCTGAATGTTGCAAAAAGTTACGTTCATTATTCATAATGAATGGGGACATGTGTCGCACTCTCCTTTGTCCCCCAGTTCACAACGAAAACATGTTTGCAACTGAACTTTCCTCCATATATATGTATATACGCCTATCGGTAGGGTGTGGTTTTGTAATTTAGCCATTTAGCCTCATCCCCATTTTTGTTCCACCTATTTTGATGGGACAAAGAAGTGCATTTTTCTCCCATATGTGTACCATGTTGTCCAATTCCTGTATTGCACTAAATGTGGGACAATGTTTTTATGTTTTGTTTTGTCTCGTGTACCAAACGCACCCTGAGAGAATACCTGAAAGATCCGACCAAGAGTCCTCAATCCCTTGGCTCTTGCACGTAGCTCCTCCCTTTTTACAGTATTGTCTTGAAGAACCTGAAACACAGCAAACATAACCGTAAGTACCTTCAACATATTAGACGAACAAAGAAAGGGCAAACAAGCGGGTTATAAGTAATACAACCATCTGACAGACACGGGAAAGCGTGCCTTCGATATCAGCCACATTAAGCTTCCAAAGAGAATCAATCATCAATTTCTTGTGTGACTGCATGTATTCTTCAAGTTCCTCCTCGGTATACTTCCCCTCTGCACTTAGCTGCCGTTTCATGTCCTCTTGCAGCTGAATTAAAGCAAGGGCCCCTAAACTCGGAGACAAAAAGTAACTCTTTTTAGCAACAATGAAAAGATATAGGTAGTTTAAATAGCTGAAGGGAAACACGTGTTGTAACTAGTCATGCAACCCTACAAACCATACGAAACAAACCCAGTATATCCCAAGCAGAAGTAGGGTCGGGGTAGGATGTATGCAGACTTTGCCTCTATCCTAAAGGATAGAGAGGTTGTTTCCGTGAAGACCCTTGGCTTGCAAAACAAAAACAAAAGTATAAGGAGACAGGTGAAAGAACTAGCATAGACGTCCATGCACCACAAATCGGCTTAGCCAATAAGCCAAAAGGGTCATTGAAGTTACACATGGGAGACATAGGATGCTTCTCTGTAACTTTCTCCGGGTTCTCAATGACGGTCATTTTGGAATTGTCACAACCTCTAGCAAACGGGTTTAATTTGATTAAACCAACCTATTTCACCGAGTATGGCAAATTTCTCCCTGCCACAGCAGGGCACCAAAACAAGGTAGATAGTTTGGGAAAATAAATATGCTACTTGTTCTAAGATTGGATTTGAGTATGAAATACATATATAACGGACAATGAATCTGTTTTGTAATAAAGTAATAACATACGATGTCAAATAGCTTTTTGTACCAATTCAGTATCTTAGTGTAGGTACAAAAGCAAAGTCAAGGACACAAAATTTCAAGACTTCAGTTTTGAGAATAATGAGAGACTTGAGGCATCTGTGAAGAAAAGTTAAAACTGAAGAAAGCTAAAGTCAACATTTCAAGTATCAAGGCATTGACCGTCGTTTAGACATTAATCAAAAGGGGGTTATAAATAGTCATTTAATCACATATGTACTACTGATACATGTGTCGAAGTTATAACCAGTTGGCTTAATAGACTGACCTGTTGCTGCTGTAACTTGGGATTTAATGAAATGCCCTTTGTTTCTAAACCACTCGGCAATAAATGGCACACCGAGGTAAATAGCCTTCTTACCAAGCTCCTTGGCTGCCTGCCGCACATAAATATAGCCAATTGTGTTCAACATATCCACACCATAAGCTGCAAAGTTGAATCTTAATGTTAGAAAAATAAATTAAAAACAAGAACATAAGTGACCAGCTTATGTTCACCACTCAAAAGCTGCATGATACCTGAATAGCTACAGCCTATCTACTCTGGCACATGATCTTAATTGAAATACATCATACGACACATTTCATTTAGAATCCACAAACTAGAGCAACCAAGTGTTCCAGGAAAATGTAACAAGAGTTTATCCACTATATCCTTACATTAAACTGACATAGCAAGGAAGTCTTGACACATCATAAACACTACACACTTAAAATTATGTATTAGAATTAGAAACATAAAATCTATAAGACTAACATACAAGTAGAGGATGAAGCAAACTCCACTAAAAGCATTAGATGCAGGATATGATTATGTGTGCTTTAATATTTATGGGTGATAAGTATCACACATCATTTAAAACCAAAAATTCCCTCTTGTGTGTCTTTTAGCTTAACATTTTCCTATTGATGCACAATAATTTCTATTCCTCAGTAGATGCTACTGAAGCGTTATCCCTGTTTCCGTTATTCTCACATTGAAGATTCCCATCCATACTGCAGTAAATCGACCTTACAATTAAGAAACTAGGAGAAATATACGACTGTGCGGATATTACTAGTACTACAAACCAGAAGGGCTCAAACACTCTTTGCTTCTCAACATTGTATGAGTAGTCAACTGCCCTGATTAAAACTTCAACCAGGTTTTCTGAACCCCTAAAAGTTTTGCTTTCTAACACCTTTCCATCATAAACAAAATGCTTCCAGAAAAATGGAACTAATCCTACATGTTTACCAACATGCGGTGATAAATTTAAAAAAAAAAACTGCAAATCACCTGCATTAGAGAGCCTCGATACCTCCGCTTCAGCATGACGAACAAACTCCTCTTTGTTTCCTTGCACATAAGGGATGAGACGATCTTTAAGTGTTTGGATTAACTTCTCTTCTCGTTCCTTTTGCACAATCTGCGATGAGATCATTTAACTGATTCAAATCTACATAAATACTTACAGCTTGATACATTTAAACAATTACTGCTTGTGTACTGCCAAATAATAAGCAGCAATTTTAATTGAGATATGTGTTACAAAATAGCTTCAGAAGGTATAGGGTATTATTGATGTGAAACATACATACATACACATATATATTTGCACACATGCATATACATACGCACACACATATATGCGTATATGCATGTGTGTATACATGTATATTCATATAGACAAATTAATGTATATAGGTTGTGGGACAGAAATATGGTAAGAAATAAACCGCAAAAAGTAAATAAAACCATTACGGTTGTTGCTATGTATATAATACTACTACTGAAGTTGAAGAACCATGGCCAAGTTGTCACAGATAGGACTAATATGACTCCTCGTGCACAAAAGGGAAGCCTATCTCATTGTATTTTTTTGGCTCCTCAAATCATAGGTTCTTGTAGATCGTAAACTTTGCTAATTATTACAATAAATCTCTATCGAATTGGGTTAGAGTCACCCAACTCCAGACCAGATGCCAAACCATGTCAAGTCACACATGATATTTGGACTCAAAGCAAGAGATATCAGTTAATGGCTCTCACAAAATGTAAATGTATCATTAATTCACGAGGGAATAAATAGACTAAAGCGGATGAGAGCTGAAAATAAACCAACCCCAAACAAACCTAGTATATCCCAAAGACATCAGGTCCTACAAACTCTTCCACTACATTTATGTGATTCTTTGAAGACCTGAAATCTGCACAGAAAGTTGAGATATTGATCTTTTTCAAGACCTTTACATTTAGCCCTAGTATTTATTCTAACACCCAATCCAATTTTCAAAATGAACACATTAGCGGCTACCATTCCAGCAAAAGAAGTAAAAGTTATAGAGGTAGCAAATCAAACTGCTAAAATAGCTAAGATGCCAAAGAATTGGATCAGGAATGAAGAACTCTAGAGAAAGTGTGAAAAATAAATATCACCCAGATGACAACAAGAAGTATGGGACATGGACACATGGTTAAGATAATTGATGAAGTGAAACATAGACAATTATATTTACTTCAGCAAGTAAACATGAATTCTTTTTAAGTGCTCAATTGTGAACGCGTATGATCCCTCTTTCATGTAAGACAGTAAAAGACAGGAAATCCAAAAATTATGAAAAACTTGCATTCTGTGGCATGGGGTGGGCAATGTTAAGTACAGGTCCATGTTGAAGTTTCAAGTTTTGGGTTCGTAAACTAGACCATCAGCACCTCTAGTAGCCACCAAATTGTAAATGACACCTCGCAGAACTCTTTACAACCTGCTCCCCTTGCTTTCGTTGTAAATATAAAGGCTGTTTTCTCAAAAATAAAGCAAAAATATATTTCTTGATTGTATACAAGTCGAGGCTAATGTATATCTATACTACCTTATAAACAAGATTTATCAAAAGTCTTAAAAAAATTATTAATGCACAAAGTACTATACATTAATGCACAAAGTCTTAAAAGTCTAAAAAACAACTCATAATGCATTAAGTACTACTACGTTATGCATTCAGTCTTAAAATCTCGTAATCTACAATTAAAATAACATATAGTACAAGTTACCATTGCACATTATTACTTTTTCTTTTCACGTTCCCAAGATACTTTTGGCACCTTTCACTCATATCCCCAAGGTGAGATTCAAACTGATATTCACCATGAGTTATTAAAAATTCTCTCATTCATCTCCCATTCAATTGCTCTAGAACTCTCGGTTTCGCTCTCGATCTCTTGATTCTTTGCTCTTGGTGTAAATCGAACACATATGTGGAGTCGTTTAAATATGTTGGACTTCAAATATATTGGATTTTAAACTGTCATACAATTTTTTTCATCGATAGACTGTACTTGGAACCATAACTCTTATTTATTCAAATTGTATTAATATGTAAAGACTAAGTGTAACTTATATCATCGTTAAACATTCTCTAATAAAACCAGTGAAATTTCAAAATCATTAAAATTCACGGGTCCCACCACATTGCGCGGGTACACAACTAGTGCTTTATTACAAAGGTATTTAGTATGGCTCCTTTAAAGAAAAAGGTTTGACAAAGTAAAGGATATATTATCCCTATTGAGGGATAATATCCTTGTTTTTTGTAATCTTTTTGGTAATTCCATCGCAACATAATCCCATGTCACGTATCACTACTCACAACCATTCACATGTTTAATATTTTAAGTACAAAATGACAGCAAGTCAGATACAGTGCAGGACCAATCCCTGTATTCATCCACCCTAGACCCAAGTATCCACCCATATCCACGACCTAATGGGCTTTTAACTTGGGAAGAAATTTCATGTTTCTATCTGTTTTGTTATCTTAAGGAAGGTAAGATAAAACCCTTAATTGGGTTTCTAGTATAGAATTTTAAGTTCCATTATGTTAAAGAACAAAGTGACATGAGCATAAAAAGAACTGTGGGTCAGACACAGATTCATAAATCAAAACTCCACCCTTGTCTCCCATTTTGAGGATATGCAACATCATGTACTGAAAAAAGAAAACCCCAATATGAAAGCAATTAACTTCTGCCAAAGCAAGCTCTTGGTGAACATCCATACTTCATACTAGGAGTACTTAGCAAAAGCTAAAGAAACTTTAGAACTAAAACAGCCTCAAGAACATACCTTCATCTTCTCTTGCAACTTTTTAGCATCAAATTGCTCCCCTTCTGTGAAAATATCCATTGAAGCCATTGATGCCATCGCAAGCTGGCCAATGTAGTCCTCGAATAGCTCACTCCCAAAAAGCATCGCAAAGATGGCAGCAGGATCAATGATTGCTTCACTATAACGAATAGAGAGAGAACATAAATTTAAAATTAGAAGAAATCAACCAAATAAAGATAAAGAAGACATGTATGAGCTCGTGCATGTATACTATTCAAGATACCATAATCTCTACAAAATATGACTCGACTATCTACAGTTAAAGACCACAAAACTGACGTTGAGATTCCCGATTTCCCGTATGCATCATAAGCCTGTTTTTGATCAGGATTGCTCAATACTTGGTAAGCTTCACCTAGAACCTGTGATACAACATAAAATATTTAACAAAAGCAGTATACTGAAGAACATATTACAAAAAAGGCTATAAATTTCTTGACCAAACAAATAGTACAGAATGGGACCAATCTAAGAACTGGGTGTGCGCAGCTTCACCTGTCTCTTTTTAAGAGATCATGGTTATAGACTAGTGGTTAGGCCTCTCCCTCACCTTCGATGTCCAAGTTCAAATCACATCCCCCACACCTAATGTTAGAAAGAAAATAAAATAAAAAGATCTAAAAGAAAGGTTCAGCTCAAGCCATATTTCCTCATCTTGTATCTGCATGGTGTGCAAGGATTGGGGCTTCAGAAAAAAGAATGAAAAATGCAAACAGTGCAGCTCATGAATGAGTAAAGAGTTACATCATTTTGTCTTAGGAGAAATCTTTGTTTCTCTATGACCTAGCTTGTCCTAAATCCTTCTAGTATCCACATGATGTCAATATGAATGTGCCATCTATAGAATGGCAAAAAGAAAACAAATAATGTGGAAAGGTACTGAAACAACCAAATAAACATTTTATAAGCTCTGGATGGAAGTGTTGCCTGAAAATTTTGTGCTGCAAGAGGATCATTTGGATTTTTATCTGGATGGACCTGCCGTGCCTGCAATCCTCCAAGCATAGCAAGTTAAAATAATATGAACTAATACACTCCTGTTGCAACATCTACTAGTTATTTACGTAGCAGGCTAAATAGGAAAAGAATGCATGGACAATAATTATACTTCATAATTACATATAATGATAAAAACGCTTACATTTACATACATATGTGTGTGTGTGTGTGTCAATATATCAATGTGCGTGTTTATATGCATGTATTACTGTCAGTATTAGTAGGGTTAATAAGTTCCACCAAATAGAATACAAGAAATAAGGTATCCAGTTGGAGGAAATCTTTTTAATCCTTCCCAAGTAATTGTATCAATGGAACAATGAAGCTAGTTACTTAGAATAAATTATATCAAAACAATATTAGTATTAAAATTTTCATTATGGAATATAACAAACACAGTTCAAGTAACTGGAAAATGCACGAAAGTTGAAGAAATAAATAAATTTCTGAATATATCAAGTCATCAACACTGGTAGTCTAGTGCATGTTCAAGAATGCCGTAGGTCAAAGTGTTTGGCAAATTCCAATAACAGTCCATGAATGGAAAGCTGGAAATCATGAAGAACATGATATAGTCCTTACAAAGAACCATGTTACATAAAGCATATTGACGAGTTGGAAGCAATTGGATACATTATATAAGCTGCACATGCTTTGAAGCTATAGTTATCATGCATTTGGTCAATAAATTTCACCAAAGGACTCAAATTTGTGCAATATATTGGTAAACCGTATTGGGATAAAATGATAATGGAACTTGTATAAAAAGATGGTCATGCAAGGAATGGAACTAACCTTAAAGGACCAGTATTTTAGCTTCATAGTAGCCTGTCCGATTTCACGTAATGGTTTACTATGCATCTAACGGCTATGCATTATTGTAAATACGATTATGTTTGATGCACATGAAGCATTTTTCATAAATCAGAGATTGTTAGACCTTGGATCACTTATAGATTCAATCATTAAGAACAACAGCATAAGGGTTTTCATGACAAGGACGCAAGTGCTTGTTAATAAAGAATAAAATTTATGTGTCAAAGGTTCTTTTTACGAACAAAATGTACTACATTTGGTAGTTCTAGAATGATCCCTAATCTAACTTGCAAGTTATGGATCGTGGGGAAAAAGAAAAATTGCACTATCTCAATGAAAAGTCTTGTAAATTTGTGCTTTTTCAACACAATTCTTTAGACAGAGAACTACCCAAAATCATACAGATTCCTGCGTTCCTATTTTCCTTAATTCAATGATAATTCTTTTGATTTGGGAAAAGTTGCTCAAAGAGACATGCCTAACGGGCTTTAGTTGCATCACTGCAGAGTCATGGGATATTGTAAAACTCCTTTGACCAGAAGCCGTTACAAAGTGATGTAAGGGATAATACAACAAAGAGTTCAAGCAATTTCAGATGGATAACTGGATCCTCTTTCATCAAATACATTAAACTCAGCTTTCTTAAAGGCAGAATAACACCATAGGCCAACAAATTTCAAATGTCATGAAACAATTAACATCCTACATTTAATATAATGTGCTGAAGGGAAAGGATAACATGAAATGTAACATAAAAGTAATAAGAGCGTTACTTGGGAATTCTAGATTGAAGAACAAAGTGAAAATATCATAATCCTAAGGATGCATCATTTCTTTTTAGGGATCCTACTGATTCTACAGTTAAATTGCAAAGTAGGTATAAAGGGGCAAGATAAACAAGATCAGAGGAATATTGTTGCAATTAAAGATGCGAATAGATGTATAACCTTGATGTAATAAGCTTTCTTAATCTCAGCCTCCGTGGCGGTGGGTTTAACCCCGAGGACGTCGTAGTACTCCGTCTCCTTCACCATGGATCATATATCTCTAGCTCCGGTTTCTTGTTTTCCCCCAATCGATCTAGGGTTCTTGCGAAACAAAAAATTTCAACGGAAATCTCAAAGCCTCAAACTTGGAAACCCCACGTGACTTCCTCACACACAAATATCGATCGATTCGAACAGATTAACGCAACGACTGGTCAAGAAAGTGAGAAATTGGCGACTAGACCAACTGGGAATAGTCAAATGCAATTTCTTTATGAAAACTCAAATTCAAGCAGTACAATTGCGAGTCGACAGGGAGATGGATACGAATACAGACGCGGTTGCAGTACGAATTCGTTGGCATTGACCAACGTCAGGCCGACCCCACGAGCAGGTTAACTCTTCAGCCGATGGATCGATCCTTAACACTCACCCATGGTTACCCTGATGCAGTAATAATAAGATGCAACTTTGAGATAAAGCTCTTTCCCCCATGGGTGCTTTTCTACCTTTCTTTCAATTTACCGTTGCACAATCAGTGCTGACTCGAGATGGAGACTGGTCTTGGGTTTGGTCTTACCCTGACACCACAAAAGTCTAGACGTCTTTTTGGTCCGGTGACTCGATAAGCCCGTAAGTCGGTAATGCCTTATTTGGTGAATCATATATAAAAGCTCCCATTTAAAATCATTTAGAGTAGTTGATTCAACGCTTATCCGCTAAATATTTATTGGGTAATTTTTCTCATCAAATGAAAATGACAAAGGCTAAGAATCTTACCCGGTAAGAATGATGATAGAGATAGAGAATCTTATCTGGTAAGTGAAGGTGACGGCTCTTACCCGGATAAGTGCTTACCAGACAAATTGTTGTATGAAATACGTTTTGATACACTACAATCTAATCCAGTAAAATAAATTATAGTGTTGACTCCTAACGAAAAGCACTTATCGGGTAAGCGTTTAGGTAAACAGCCCCTTAGGTATTGTTTATCAAACGTTTATTGGATAAGCGTTTATGAACAAGTCATTATACTCACTTGTTTTATCAAGTAAATTTTCGATTATTAAAATGGACCGTTGACAAAGACGGACTTATTAAGAGCTGAGCGACGACCTCTCATGCATCCGCTCACTAAATTATTGCAAGAGAAAAAAGTGTAGCCGTCTTAAAGGTTCATCTGCTTGATTTTGGGGAGTGCCTCAAATACTTTAAACGAAATCTGTAACAAATATTAAACATTGGTGGGATGGTGTGATTACACTTCATATACAAGAAATGGGTTTAAATCTTTCAATGGAAAGTTTATCTTTTTAGGTGTCGTTTGTTTTTTGAGAGGTGCTGAAATCTGAAGTCTTATTTCACTTCTTATTAATAAGAGGTGGTACTGAAGTCTGAAATTTGAATTAATAAGACTATTTGTTTTTGTAAACTGATAAATGTCTGAATTTGTTTAAATTGTCTATTTAACCGATTAAAAAATTATAATGTTGAATTTGTAGACAAATTTATATAATTTCGCATATTTATTCATTATCATTACGAAATTTATATTTAAATCATATAATTATCATTTATTTAAACGAAAATATATCATTAACGGTAATTGACACATTTAAATCATATTAAAATAATTGATTTGATAATGATCAATTGAGAGAAATAATTAAGGTTAATCGATTGAGAAACGTCGTTGCTAAAGGTTTCGAGAACAATAAGAGGCAAATAAGAGGTTAGTTTACCTCTTAACAGATAAGAGAACAATAAGATATAAGTGCCTCTCCAAAACTGGAAAAAAAACAGTCTAAATTATCCTACCTCTTAACGAATCAGACATAAGAGGCTAATGAAACCTTTTTTTTAAACAAACAAGGCCTTAATATTCTAATTTTAGGTTACAAGAAGGGTGGTATGCTTGATTTGTTTGAGTTTGACTCTAAAGGTCAAAAGTACCAGGAGGTCTCAGGTTCAAATCCAAATGAATAAAAATCCCCTTGTGACCATGGAGATTCAAATGCGGTGACTCCGGACTATCTGCAAAGCAGGTGGTCGTCCTGGGATTAATCGGCTCGCATAGCGGGTTGGATATTCAGGTTAATTAAAAAAAAATACAGTCAGAAGGATTGAACTTACAACCTCAAATACAATTATAAATATTACTATCACTATGTCGAGACAAGTTTTTGTTAATTTTACCAAAAGGTCTTTGGCCTAACGGTATTGTAGTCTCTTACCTTCTAAAAGGTAAGGGGTTCAAACCCTCATTAAATGTGAAGATGATATGTGAGCTTTAGAGCTTATTTGTTGCATTTGTTGTATATAAATATTATATACTTTTAAAAAAAAAAGTTTTTGTTAATTTTTCTCCCATTTTGATTTTGTTATTATTTTTTCATGTCAATTCATCTAAAATATTGTCAATTTTTTTATCTCATTTTCAAAGCAACATATATTTATTTGAAAAAATGTATTTTATTTCTCAAATCAACATAATTGACTTTTTTTAGGTCAAATCTTGTTGACTTTCTCTCCGGGTCAAACTGTGATTTTGCATACTTTGACCAGTGCAAGAAATTCCAAGGTTCACCGTTAGTTGTTGGTAAGCATTTACCGTGTAAGTCTTTTTCTTTTCACTTATCAAATAAGATTTTCAGTACTTGTCATTCTCACTCGAGAAACACTCACCGAGAACCACTTCATAAACAACCCCTTGATCGGTGAGTCGTGACTTTGATTTGTGTTTCTTATGTTCTAGCAACGCAATTTTATACATTCCTATTATGTGGAATATTAAATTCTCTGTATTTTTATATTTAATTAATTATCTGATTCATTTTTTAAAATGATGTTGTTATATCTAATGAATAAGTTCTTGATCCATATGGTATACCCAAACGTTTTGATCGAGTTCCTCGAACGAATTAAACATGTTGATAGTTTATAAATTTTACGTTTTTACATATTATCACGAAATAGCCAATAAATCTGTAAACCAACACACCACTTTTTCTGACATTTTCTATTAAATCCTTAAAGTTTTAAAAAAATTACGAAAGAAATACGTTTCCATATTTAATTGTTGGATAATATTTTTAGTCATTAAAATAGATTATTGGTAAAAAAAAATTCCTTCACTTAATTACCGGGTTAAAACCTCGATTATCATCATATCGCCTGATGAATAAGATTCTCGATCTTTATTATGTTTCATTTGTCATGATAAACGGTTTGATAAGTTCTTATCCGATAAACATTTGATGGGCGAGAAGTCTAATCGTAGTAAATAATAAATAAATCCAACTTATTGTGTTCTTGGTTCTTAAAAGTTAAAATTTGATAGAGTTCTCAGGTTCAAATCAAAAAAGGAATAAAAATCTCTTTGTAACGACAGAGATTCAAATACGATGATTCCGGACTATCTGTAAAACAGATGATCATCCTGAGATTAATCGGTTCGCATAACGAGTTGGATATTCAAGTTAATAACAAAAAATTAAATGATTCGTATTTTAACTTCTCATTCTTGTCACTCATACAGGAGCAGCAGAACCGAGATGGGTTCCGCCATTGAAGGAGCTTCACATAAACAATATACCACCTGTGCTAAAAGCAAACCGACGGGTGGCACCTTTTTGGATAAGCTGCCACGTTGAACTTTATCACAACGACCATTTTTCTTCATACTGCACGTGTCTTCTCTTTAATGGGCCGTGTGTCCTCCAGTCCACCCATACGTGTATCGGAACCTGTTGACACCAACATATTTAAGTATCGACGACCGACAACGGCGGAGCTACTCAGAAACACTGATAGGAAAGTAGAAAGATGAGTCAGGAGCAACCAGGGAGGACGCAGGAAGTTGAAGGACAGGATAAAGAACCGATAAAATATGGGGATGTATTTCCAGTTTCCGGCGAGCTAGCTGACAAACCGGTGGCTCCACAAGATGCCGCCATGATGCAAGCGGCGGAGATCACGGTGTTTGGACAAACACAGAAGGGTGGCACCGCCGCTTCCATGCAGGCTGCTGCTACCATCAACGAGAGAGCAGGTTTAGTCGGTCACGAAGATCAGACCGTAGCTGGTGATCAAGGAGTTACTGTCACAGCCACCGAGATTCCCGGTGCACGTGTCGTCACTGAAGCCATCGCCGGCGAGGTCTCTTTTCTTTTTCTCTTCTATTTATATAAATAAATACGAGAATATTAATTATCAAGTTTGCTTTTCCGGCAGGTGTTGGGGCAGTATGTGGAGGCTACACCGCTACTCCAGCGGGGTGGTGGGGTTGGAGACGTGCACCATCATGGTGTTATAACAATCGGAGAAGCACTCGAAGCTACGGCGAGGACGGCCGGAAATAAGCCGGTGGAGCAAAGTGATGCTTCCGCCATCCAAGCGGCGGAGGTCAGGGCTACCGGTAGTAATGTGTTGGTTCCCGGTGGACTTGCAGCTCAAGCTCAATCAGCGGCCACTTTGAATACGTCTACACGAGAAGAAGATAAAGTCAAACTTGGTGAAGTTCTAACGGTAAGTGTTATTGAATAAATAAAGTGTTGATTTTGTGTCATTTTAAATAAGTTATATTTATGGAACCAGGATGCGACGGTGAAACTTCCGGCGGATAAAGCGGCGACAAGAGAAGATGCCGAGGGTGTATTCAGCGCAGAGAGGCGGAACAACCCAAATTTGACGGCCTACCCCGCCGGAGTGGCTGCTGCCGTTGCAGCTGCTGCTAATCTAAATGAGAAAGGCCTAGTCAGCTAGTTTAAGCAAAGACCAAAAAGAGAATATATATATATATATATATATATATATATATGTATAGGTTGTATAAACATATATATATATATATATATATATATATATGTATCTATGTATGTGTATATTAGCAGGTTGATGAAGAAAGGATATATAATGGCCAATAAATTATATATGTCGTTTTGCTTTTGATATACGAACATATATCATGTCCGGTAATTACAGAAATCAATAGAAGTTGACTTTTTAAATATCTATTGGAAGATTGTCGGTATTTTTTGACATCAGTTTTTGCTGAATATTAAGGTCTGTTTTTTTAGTAATGTCTTGAAATTAAGAGGCCGTTTTATTGAATACTTGTTGGTTCAATTATATACGTTAATAGCTAGGTGAATATATGAATATAATAAGGATGGAGAATCGAGCTAATTGATATCAAGATTTATAAAACTTTTAGATGTTATAATATGTAATATAAGGTGAGCATCGAGTTCGACCTTGAATACAGAAAAACATTCGAGGTCGAGCTGAAACAATCTGCTATTCAACTCCCAACTTGTTAAGATCCATATTCAATTTAACTTTTGTCTAATAGAACTCAAAAAAACGTAAGACTATCTTGTGAATCCGAAGGCTAAGAACATATCTAAATTGTTGCGAACTCGTTGCCCACATAGCGTGATCGATCATCCCATCTTACTAGCATCACCTTTTTGCATCTTCGCACAATACTCGAACAAACTTCCATCGAAGCAACGCCTTACTGATTCTTTTGATAGCAATCCCTCCGAGTCCTTGGCGAGCAGATAAAGGGCTCCCCACTCCAATTTGCTTGCAATCCTACAATACATCGATCACAATACATTGTTAATACCTAAATCGTATATATTCGATGATGGATCGAATAGAGAAAGAAGGTTTCAACATATATAGAGAAGAATTGGTGTAGGTGCCGGCATGGGACTCCAACATTCCCCTCCATCAAAGGTTGGACAAAGTCCTCAGTGTCGAATCACTTAGAGATGATAGACTTTGGTTCTGTTACCATGTAAGATATAAATAAAAATCTAATGTCCCAAAATCTAACGACTAATCTATGTCCTACCAATGAGATTAAGACACATAATATATATATATATATATATATATATATATATATATATATATATATATATATATATATAATATGAGAGAAATGGTAGGAGTGTAGCTAGTGTAGGACTTCACCATTTAATAAGTTAAAGTTCACGAAACAGAAAAAGTACCAGCCAAAGAAGTCGAAGGCGTTACGAGTTGCGTCTGTCATATGCCAAAGTTCTTTGAACGTGAGCTTATCCGGCACCGTGAGAGCGTATTTGCTAAAAATGTTCTCCAGGTTCGCCGGAACAAACCTGCAACGACATGGACCATTCTACACGTATAAACAAGGTCTCACCAATACATAAACCGTTAAAACAATCGACAATCATACTTGTATTTAACATACACCAAACACGATCAAAAAACGAGATATCTCACCTTCCTTCGGTGTCGTAAGTAGCCGAATCACTTCCATGCTTGGCCATATGTATGTTTTGTATGTAAATGGGAAAGAAAGGTGATGGCAACCAAGTCTACCACAATCATCCACACCCAAATTCAATTAGAATACAACAGTCATATGGCGCAAAGAATAATACAAGTGAAGTTTGACTTTTAGAGGTCAAATATCTTACTTTCATTTTTAAAATCGACATCGATCGATCGATCGAAGTTTTGAACTTGAATCATACGTGAATCGAATTTTATAGAAATTTCCATTTATAATAAACTTTTCGACTCCAAAGTCAAACAAACTTACAAACACGTTGGATCCGAACTTACAGGCAAAGTGACATAACTCATGGCTCCATGGATCAGTACCATGAAGACGAAACAAACAAACACGTTGAATCCGAGATCACGGAGTCCTGGATAAATTTATGTTAAGCAACTGCATATCATTTCGTAAGCGTAAATTATAAGATTCTATGAACACCATATTATGATCATTTCCATGCGACTTGCCTTTAAAAGTCTCCCAAGGGAAAATGATACCGTTATCATCCTGATCAAAAAACGCCACATGCTGTTGAAGAACAGACAAATTGTGATGCTTGTGTCCCAACGTTCCACTCGGATTGTTGGTATCAGGTGCAGCCACAGCTCTAGCCATGTCTAACAACACCAAAAACATCAAGAAAATCACACCCCAAAACATTTTCAAGATTAAAATATCAATCCAAAGAACGTTCACAACGGATTTCACAGTTTTTTTGTGATACGTGGTTAGTGCAACGTACATGGTTTGGGGAGCTTGTTGTCAAGGTCCGATCGGACCCTTCGCTCTAAAGTAACCAAAGCCTTGTCGGCTACTGTCAACATTGCATCGTTGTTCTTATCTGCCATACCCGATTGATAAATTTTGGACCTCGTTGATGCTGCTTCCGATCTCCTTTGAGCGTAGCTAGTGTGTTACGAGTAAAAATTGGTATTAGATTTAGGTTATTGGTGAATAAGATGAATTTATGTGTTATTAGGAGATAAAATGTGTCTGCTTTAAAGTCGAAGATGGGATCATGAGATTTGAAGATTTCACTTGGATATGACATGCTCTCTGACCCTATTTTTGTGGCAAAGAAAAACAGTTTATTAGTTGTTACATGTTTTTTAACGGATATGATCTTCTCATTTTATTATTTAAAATTTTCTTTAAACTTGATAAATGAATATTATTAAATTTTTAAACGGGTTTCGTTTTTACTAGAAGGATACCCGCACAATGAAGCGAGATATATCTCGATTTTAGTGTTTCGCTTTTTTTGTCTTAGTCGATATTATAATACGGTTTTATATGGTTTTGAGAAAGCGATACTGTTTTTATTTTTGAATAAAATATAAATATAAATATAAATATATTATAAAAAATAAAAAAAATATTGATATTAATATTAATATCAAACTAACTATTTAAAATTTATCCTTTTTATGTATTTTTTTTTAAATTTTTGGTTTAATAATATAATTTTTTATAAAAATAATAGTTAAGTATTTTGGTAGAACTTAATGATTATCATCATTATATTTTAGTTTTTTTATATTTAAAATGAAACATTGATCCTTTATTTGATCATATTTATCTGAAGTTAATTAGTTACACGAATTCAAACATGAAGCTTTAATAAGTTGTATTTACGCATAGTTTATTTGTAATCTTGAATTTTAAGTAATATGCATCAATAAACAGTACTTCATACATAAAAAATGATTTTTAAGAGTTTTTATCGAATGCTTTATAATATAGTATAGATATACACAACTCGTATCTAATTACCATTCTATTTTCATTGACATGAATTTTCTTTTTACTGAACACTCGATTGCTTCATAAAGTTGATAAGCCGTTTTTTATCATGTTACATCATAATTCTATAAACATATTAAATTTCATTATATAGTTACGTGACCAAGGCCGGCCCAGGGCATTAATTTAAACCCAATGATATATATTAATACTAATAAAAAAAAGTTTCAAAGTGTCAACTACATAACTTAAACATACATATCCATTTCTTTTTTTTGTATTAATTTTTCTTGATTCGGTATTTAATCTCGTAATTCCAATTTTGTCGTCAGCCATTATGTGGTTTGTTGCTCAAGGCTATATATGGTTGTTTAAATTACATAACACTCGCTACTCAATGATGTTTAGATATTTAAAAATATGATACACGTATGGTATTAAATTTTTGTAAGTTTTAAGACAAATTAAACATCTTTATACAATCGTATACAATTAGTTTGAGCACAACTATCATTATATGCAAGTTTTTAAAGTTCGATTTAACTTTATATTACATTATGATATTATATAATCATAAGATATATATTACAAAAATAAATTATCATTCAATAACAATAACAAAAATTGGTTAAATATGAGATGTCTAACTTGATTAGGTTTCAAACCCATTAAAAATAATATGTTTATTTATAGTTTTTAAATAGTGAAGACATTATTTTACCTTCTTGTCCTGGGCACGAGAAACTCAGGTACAATCATGTACGTGACTCAAAGATATATTTGAATTTATAATTAAAAATAAGATTAATAAAATAATTTAATATTACAATGATTAGTTTATTAACATCATTTGTAAGGATTATATTTCAAGTAACAACTACAAAGAATTTAAATAAAGTTACACAAGTTGAATTAACAAACATGGTTCGGTTCACCTGAGACCAAGGGTTTTTTGTGAGCCCCGTAAGATTAATTTATGTTCATTGATCAACTTTATAAGCTAATGATCTAATGGTCTAAAGTTGTACGGTGACAATTTTATGATTATTGAGAAGTCTCGTGACAAATTTGTGATTATAAATGTTCAGATTGTAAATCTAAATCATTGATTGAGAATTGGTTTTACAGGTCTCGTAAAAAATCATTGGTCTCATATGATTTTGAGTCTTAATGAACATGTATCATTAGTTTTAAATAGAGTAAACCATGATTTTAGTCCCTTTGGATTATGAAAGATTGCAATTTTTATCCCTATGGTTTGAAAATTTCTATTTTTTTTTTTTTGTATTGTTTATGAGTTATTATTGTTTTCGTCTTGTTCCTCATACTAAATATAAAAAAAAAATTCATTTAACTGGGCGTATTTTAGGTTTTTTTCTTTTCCTTTTTGGTCTATTAAATATCTCTTTTTGGTATTTTAGTTTGTTTGATTTTAACAAGACCATATATTTTTTAATAAAAAAGATAATACATAAAAAAAATTAAATTGTTTTATTATTGTTTATAATAAGATAATTAAATATTTTTCATACATTTCGTTTTTTCATATTTTTTGTCATTATAGCTTCGGCTTTTTAATAATTCGATTTCTACCACTGAGTCATTCAAGTGCAAGTAGTCAAGTGTATCTCTCGCATGATGGTATTTTAATTTTCCTTTTTAGGGTTAGATTAAAGGACCCAATCGGTATCAAAAGTAAAACCACCGTGGTTATACTTGTAATTACTTTATTTTGAGGGATCTAAATCATACTTTCATATAACCATTGGGGTGAAATTTGTAATTTACTCTATAATACTACGTATAAAAACAATATACGGTATACACACCCCCTCACCCAAAGTCCCAAACCCTCGTCTTCCCCAACGTCCCGTTGTCGAAGAACCTCCACCTCCCTTCCGTCGTCCTCCGTCTCGGGCCACCACTACGCCCCTTTCCCTCTTTTTTCCGGCGAAAGAAACGGCGACCATGTACACGTCTACCGCTACCCTTCCCCCTTCCCCTCGGAAATCAACGGCCGCTCATAAGCAACATGCTGCTCTCTCTTTATCGGTTGCCGAAGCAACGAACGACCATTTCTCCTTCTTTCTTGTTCGTTTTTTTCGATTTTCTCCGGCCTATATGAAAATCAACGATCGCCAATTTTAGGGTAGTTTTTAACGTTTTGGTTATCGATTTTGATTTTAGGTTTTTAATTTTGGATTTAGGGATGAAATCACAGAGTGAGGGCAATGGTTTGGTACGAAATGATTAAATCGTCTTAGGAGAGTCGTATAATACAGTGCAAAATAAAATATAATTGTTTGGTAATTGTTTACAATGAAATCATGATGTTGAATGGTTAAAGAGGACCTATGATATAAAATCATTCAAAGGTTTGACAAACTTTTTTTTTGTTAAATAAAATTTACCTCTTAACGATTTAGAGGTTGAATCTCTTAATAGAATTATTAAGAGGTAAACAAACAATCTCTGAGGGTTTCACGTCAGAAAAGATAGGAGGAATTATTCGGAGAAGAAAGGGGAGAGGTTGTTTTGGGAGGGGGAACAAGATGTTGCTGGAAAAACGTAACGCGGGAGTTCGACCATTGGGGGTAGAGCTGTAAGGGTGTCAATGGGTTGTTTTTGATAGAGTTGAACCGATCCTTTATGTTTTCAAAAGTCAAAATATTTTTGTATCATTAAATATGTTTTTTCTTTACTTATATTTTTTTTTTTATCATCAATTGTTCCGTACAATTTATTTATATTTTTTCTTAAATCTTAAGTATATTATATTTTAATTACTTTTCTTGATATATGTATGTTATTATTTAGGGTGCGTTTGGTACGCTGGACAGGGTGGGACATGACAGAACACATTTGTCCTACGTTTGGTGCGGCTAAATGTGAAACTAAGTTGGACAAGCATGGGACACGCGTGTTCTTTCCTTACCCCTGGAACTAAGTGGAACAGAGACATTGTTACCACACTACCCCTTCCCCCTTTCTTCCCCACATCGCACCCTCCATCAATCGGCGCCCCTGCACACTCCATCACACCCCTAACCTTCTCCTTCTCCATCTCGACGGCGACGGGAGTTCCCTTCTCGACGGCGACATCTCTTCTCCTTCCCATCGACCCCCCTGCACCTGCCAAAGACGTCGCCACTCCATCGCACCCCTAACCTTCTCCTTCTCCATACATCTTCGATTTCGATTGTGTTCTTCGTTTTAATCGATATATATGAAACAGATGGGTTCTTCGATTTCGATTGGGTTCTGCTGTCTTGCATCTTGTATTAATTTTGGTTGTATCTTTCAAACAGATGCTTGCCTGTGTTCTTCGTTTTTGAGACGTTGCCTTAGTTTCCGATTCGCATCTCTTGATCATAAGCATATGAATTGGATAAAAATATAGAATGTTTGTTATTTGCCTGTATTTTGTGCTTTTGTGTTTCGAATTAGGTCAAGTTATGAAGTTTTTGTTGGATTCATGGACTGTCTTGAATACCCATCAGTTATGTCGAGCTGAGGACAATAATAAGTTCTTGGGAAACTGTTTTGCATATGTTTTAACTTAGTATAGAAGCAAAATAACGTTAGGAGTAAATCGGTCATTTTAACCAGTCCTGTCCTGTCTTACCAAACGCTGAACAACTGTCCTGTCCCGTCCTGTCCTATCTGCGCACCAAACGCACCCTTAGTGAACATATATACGAAAGAGTTATAGAGAGATAGAGAAGAGAATGAAAAAAAAAATATATATATATATATACACACACACGCGCGAATAGAGTACATGAAGATGTAATTATCTAATGTATGTATTAGTAGAGACTTAATAATTATGTTAAATTCAAAAATAAAAGGACATTGGTGGGTTTGGGTTCAAATAACGGTAATCAATTCCAATGGTTTAAAGATTTTACCATTTGATCAGACATCAGGTTTTTTTGAAGTGTGTTATTTCGTGTTGGATTGGTTGGTCGGGTTTTTAAACAATCTTATTTAGGGACAAGTTTTTCTTTTAGAGATGCTTAAATGGTTTTAGATTTTATTTTTTATATATAAAAATATAACAATATGATGATAAATATATATATATATATATATATATACGCATACATATATACGTATATAGAGAGGTTGGTTATTATACA